TCTCAGTACCTCTAGGTCTTAAAACCACCCAGACGTCGCACCACCGTCATGGTGTATATACTGGTGCTGGACGCTACCGCGTCCCCTACCCGCCGCAGAAATGCGAGCACGTCACCATTCGGACGGATCACCCCCGTAGCAAACGAGCATTCTGGGTGAATGGACGCAGACGCGTCCTCGTAGCGCGTCGAAACCGACGGGGCTATGATGTATCATAGCGGCTTCAACGCCGCACCCTTGTACTATAGGGCCCATGTGTGTGCAGCACATGGAACCCATGTAAATACTGTGCAACCGTCACTCCAAGTTGTGACCCTTACTCCATTGTATTATTATTTGGAGACCCGGCACGGGTCTAGGGAGGGAGAGTGTAAGAACCCGACGGCTCTTACTTACTACCGGCACTCCCTAGTGCCTGGACGGGAACGTCCACTTCAGTAGGAGAAGGTGTTCTCCGGGAATCGCGGAGAACTAGCGCATCTAGGCGCCCGTAGATTAGATACCACAATTCATGTATCGTACGTAAGCGTACGGCGCCCGAAGGTTCGGGCCTCGGGCGCCTGGTGGGGGCAGAGTTCTACCACCCCCCACCATCCAGCGAGTACGCCGAGCAACCAAGCCCGGTCCAGAGTACTTGCGGGATTCGGGGAGTCGTGGGACTCGCGTACACTTACACTCCTGGACCCAGGCATTGCCAGATAGCGCCGAGGTGTGGTATGGCTGCTTCCAGTAGTGGGGGCTAGAGTAGAGATAGATGGCTAGATAGACAGAATTTGCGATATATGCACAGATACCCAGTAGCAGTATATGTAGCTGCCTCGCAGGCTGGTTATCTGGGGTAAGTGGCATGAGGGAAAGCAACAAAACGAGCACGGCGCGACGGCGGGGCAATTTCTTCGCGCGGGCGCTTCTTTCTTCGCGCGGGCGCTTTTTGCTCGCGCGGGCGCCTATGTAACGTTTTGTCACTCTCGGAGAGCGGCGGTGCGCGAGGGCGCTTAGCATACCATATACGGTAATTCTCGTCTCGTTCTCACTTTCACTTTCGTCTCACCGTGCAGCCGAACAGACCCTTATATGGCAGACTCGCAGGCGACGGAGGCGACCATTTTTTAGCATCTGCCATCCATGCCGGCGCATGATGAACAGATAATGTCCCATATACTGTCGGAACTGGCGCACTAAGTCGATGGAGATATCGAGCAGATATCGGACAACAAGCTGGCAGACAAGCAGCAAGTGGGTAAAGCGAGTAGATAGCGGTACAAAGAGAGTCTGTACATATCTACAGTGTGGCGGCATGCTGGCGTCCAGGGAGGACCCCGGACACCGGAGACCCCGAGTGCAGGCACAGGCGCCCACCACTCGTTCCAACATATACCACAGCAGGCGACGGTGGGCGCGGGCGCCGACCTGCTACACTTGTTGTGAGTAACCGTTACACCAGCTGCCGCCGACGCCCAGCGCGGATAATGCTGACCTTCGTATAGTTTGAAGCTGGCCACCGGGAGCGATGCGCCGGGGCACGGAATCCGCTAGAAGAAGACAACAAGCAGTCGGCGCTTTCACATTTCGGCTCGCCGACGCATGGCGAGGGATAGGCTTTCCCACGTGACACTATGCCATCCCGCACACATAGGGTCGGCGTGCAATAGATCGCATATACCACAAGACCGCGCTGGGTGAGTCGCGATACCATGATGTGATGCGAAGCAGCGACAGACTCCAAAATACTACTCAAAACCAGTGCTCATGGCAAGTGGCCGTACTCCACCAGGAACATTGCAAGCTTGCCACGCATGTTCTATAGACAAAGTGAGCGTTCGCCGCCCCGCAAACGATCATACTGACGCGGGCACACCTTCGTCGGGGCAGGCGACACAGCCGCGTCACGGCACTCGAGCTCGAACGTCAACAACAAGCACAGACGACGCCGCCTGCATCCACTCGTGCAGTATCCACTCGTGCAGTATCGATGCAGGACGCGACCGAGGGGCAGACGGGCGCGGCGCACTGGCGAACGTTAGTCACCCAGACAAGAGGACGACAGCCCGAAGGGATCTTCAGCACAATCGCGTTTCAACAGCGCTGAAGCGCTGCGCGGGATTGTCCCTCGAGACAGACGGATGGCATTGCACAGGGATACAAGACGCAAGGGCCAGTACTTGGTGCACGCCTCCAACGAACTCGGATACTGTGGCGTACACGTCGGGGGACGGCACACGAGCACAGCCCTTCTCAATAACGTCGCACTGTGTGAGCCGTGTAGTTGTGTCACGAAGCAACGACTGACAGAGTCCTGGCACACAACAGTTCAAGGACGACGGTCCCAAGGGCACGTCCGTACTTTGAAGCACAGCGCGTCCGCGGCACTGTTTTAGAGTCCAAACCAGCTCAACGCCTGCAGAGGATACCGCCCGCGCATACTAGGCCCAATCGGGGCCCGTAGACCAGAACTGCGTGCTGGAGCTCGAGCAGCGACGCCAGGCGCAGACATGTTCGGCCGCGACCCAAAAGGCACAACATCTATATGAGCTACAGGACGAGTACAGGAGAACGCGTGCTATCAAGACAAGGCTTCACTCGACGTGCGATCTATAGCATCATCGCTTCGTTGTCGACTCGTGGCCCTCTTCAGCGGTGACGTACCCTTCTTCGCCAGAGTCAGAGACGTTCTGCCCGCGCTGAACCTTGCGCTTAGGCCGCATTCGCGCAGCTTTGGGCTTGAGCTGCGCGCGCTTCAGTTGGACCTCGACATACTGGAAGAGCTCTGCCGGCATCGCGGATGGCTTCTCCGCACCAGGACGCACGTCCGGTACACGGCACACGGTACCTATTGGGTGGCTTCAGCACACAGACCACGACGGCGAGGAGCGTACATACCCGTCATCTCAGGAGCGCTATCAGCGCCTCTGGTCACTACGACCTACATGAGTCCATCAGCGTCGGCTCAGAGCCCCCGAATATGGTGGCCCGAGAACGTACCGTCTTCTGCGGCCCCGCTTTCACAGGCACGGGCAGCACCCTCGAATGCTTGGCTGGCGCGATCCCAACGGCGTCGTCCGGCGCGAGGTAGCCCCTGAAAGGGACGGTTGACGAGCGTAAACGCGGCCACGCACTCGCGGGACTCACCTTATATGCTCCCCCACTGCCGCGATTCGCACTACGCGAGGCGCACCACTCGGGGAGCCGAGGTTCGCTTGCATCGCGGAGGGACTGGCCTTGTCCGACGCTTGCGGCGCCTCGCCGAGCGTGGTCTTGGTGGCTGAGGTCGACATGCTTGGGTCAGTGCGAGAAGAGCGCGAAGTAGAGCACGAGAGTGGGTGGATGTGGACTGTTTGCAGGATGACGAGGGGGATTCAAACCCGCGGCTTATATGCCCTCTCAGTGTCAAAGCGCGACTGCGGGAGGCGAATGGACGAGCCAAGGTGAAGTACAATAGGAAACGTACCGTGGCAACGTCTATGCACTAAGCCCAAGCTCATAGCAGGACTCTCGCTCGGCTTGGCAGACCATGCGTGCGCATTGAACAGATGGCCATACCGCTACGAGCGCCACAACGAGCGAGCGACGTGCAGTGACGCAGACGCATCGACGGTGCGCAGGTACACTTCGCGCCTCACGCCGCAACTTGTTGTTAGATGCGGCGCGAAGCCAGGTAGAGGTCCTAGCTTCGGGATGGTGAGCGCTGCCGTCTGCCCTTTATGAACGCTCGTCAACACAGAGCATGACCCCTACACCCGAAATGAGCCTTCAGAGGCTCGCAGAGTACTAGAACAGCCCGTATTCACCTTCAATCGCCGGGACGCGCAGGGACACGCGTCCCAGGACGAGACGCGAGACCCTCGGCAGCGCATCGGACCGTCCTCGTAAAAGAACATAAGCGTCAAGCATGCATAAACACCCTCGACAACACCATAGCGGAACAAGATACTACCGCGGACGTCGTGGCGCATCCGCGCGAGGAGCTCCGTCGGACGCCGGCGACCCCCTAGATGTAACGTCCTCGGAGGCGGTTTGGATCGTCTTTCCGTCGTCGCTGGAGACAGTCCCATCCCGCGCATCCTCGTCCTCCCCAACCTCGTCGATGCGCCCGAGGGAAGGCAACGCAAGGCCAGTTGCTTCACGCCCCGCCCCGCCCTTTGATCTGTATCTGCGGTGAAGCGGGCGACGAAGAACTGGTGCATGGCTGTCAGCGAACACAGGACACAGAACACAAGGAAGCGAGTGCGAACTCACGCGGTGTACGTCGGACCGGAGGCCTGTTGTACATGTCTTGAGCGACTTCCGCGGGACGCGCGCCCATGTGCACGGACTGGCTCGTATTCGCAAGCGCAGGATCGTCTTCTGTCGTCTCGCGTTCGAGTCTAGCCCTCCGCTCCTGAAGGTCTCGGTTATGTTGGCTGTACCACCTGAACTCCGCCTCGTCTTCTTCGCTGAAGACGAAGGCGCTGTTGTCCGGAAACAGGAGATTGAGAACGAGGTGAGCGAGCCGCGATGGCGTTGTTTCCTTATCCTTCAGGCGCAATTTAGGGGGTGGGGTACGCGAGGAGGACGGGGAGGCACGAGCGTTCGTCGACGGCCCCGGAGTGCTTGGGGGCGTCATCATGCGATCTGAGTTAGACATTGTGAAGGAGATCTCAAAAGAGAACGAAGGAGATGCTCAGCGGCAGCCCACGTATCGTCGCGCGACCGCCTTATATGCGCGCGTCGTCCGAGGTGTAGTGGTTATCGAAGCGTCCGTAGTACTCGTACCCGCCACTCCGCGTAGACCACAAAGAGTCGTTGCGCATAGACGAGCAGGCGGCTAGTGGCACAATAGTCGGATGAGACCTGCGGCGATGGACATGAATCAGCGTTCGAAGAAAAGGCGTGCAGCACAAGAACCCACTCTGCACGCAACGCGGTATGGTCGGCCCAAAGGCGATGTGTACGACAGTTGTTCACCACAGAAGCGATCCAGTGAAGTGAGCGGCACAAGGTGCTGCGAACGAAACCGATGCCGCAGCAAGTAAACGAGTAAGACGAATGTCGAATGAGATACGGTGGCGAAGAATGAGATACGGTGGCGAAGCATGAGCACTACGCCCCAGCGCAGAGAAGACTCATCGTGCGCACACGACACGGCACCGTAGTCGCTACGAGGACATACCTGGGAGCTTTTCGACGACTGAAGAAGACGCGAAACGCATCCATGCGTCCACCAGGAACTTGCACGCCGGCGGTGCGAGTCCTACAAACATTATTAACGTCGTCGGCATGCCATTCGCGCGCACTCACCTTCGCGAAGGCGCGTAGACGCTGCCGCCGCCCAACAACCCGAGCGACGGCACTAGCCCCACACAAGACAACCCACGGGCATATACACAAGATCAATTCGGATTCGGATCGCAAACAGGAGACAGGGCCCGAGGGGCGAGAGCTACTGAACAGATAATCTTCAGTCGACGCGAGGTCCGTCTCACAGACCGTTCACCAAGACTGAGCGGGGAAAAACTTGTCATCTTCGTAACCGACGCGATCCTGCTTGTCCCCACCCTTGTCGTGCTTGGCAGCGGACCCGATTCCGAGGATGTCTTCTTGGAGCCGGTAGCTCCCTGGGGGCGGGAGGCTTCTTCATTGCGACTGACGTGACGGACGATACCTAACGAGCGACCTCGGTAAGCAGAGGTTACAACGGACTGAAAGCACATACACGTCCTATCACCAGGGACCTACGTCGACGATACACATAGCGTGAGCGCAGACCTCAAAGATCGTAGCAGCGGCAAGACGTACCGTTCTCGAGGTCCGCGTGACCGTCAAGCCACCAATCTGCTCGATGAGCGCAGCCTCCTCCCCGCTTTCGGAAGCGAGGGCGGCGCTGAGGAAAAGGTTCAGAAGAATGGAAACGCAAGATGCTCGGAGCGCTTACCACAGTCCCTTGGGCTCAGCCGTAGCCCCAGCAGTAAGAGGCGCGCCACTTGGGGAGCCGCTGTCCGCCGCGGGCGTGGACGTAGAGGGAGGGGCCTTCGCGTTCTCCGGAGTCTCTTTAAGTTGGGTCATGGTAGGTGAAGTAGATGGATAGAGCGTTCAAGGCGGGATAAAGCGATGGTGTGTGGATGCGGATACTGCTAGATGAAGAGAGCAGGCCGCGTCTTAAATGCTGACACGGGGCGGGGGCGCATCCGCCACAGGCGGATAGACTCTAGCTGAATAGAAGGGAAAACGTACCGTGGCGACGTCTGCGCATTATGATATCCAGCTCAAAAGACTGCTCGTATCGACCGGGGACGCGCGTACGTGTTCAATCAGTGGCCACAGACTGCGAGGAAACAGAGTAATCAGCGACGCATACATGATGACCCATATACCTGTGCGCTTCTTAGCGATCGAAGTCGAGTAATCGAAGGACAACAATACATACGCCGCGCAGCATTCCTCGATAATGGATACAACCCAACACAAGAATACATGCTATCGCTCGTGCCGTTTCTCGTCTGCGCGATGACCCGTTCCGTCGACAGTTGGGTCATCGCCGGGCATATCGCCCTCGGCGGCGGTTTCGAACGAGTTCTCGCCGTCGCTGGAGTCAGCCCCATCTCGGGCACCCTGATCCTCCCAGACCTTTTCGATTCTGCTGCGAGAAACTAGCTGAGAGTCAAGGGCATGAGGCGTCCCGGCATTGGGCTCCCCTTTGCGGTAGAGTGACCGCGAAAGAACTGGCGAATAGCCTCAGCGAACGCATAACACAAGGGGGTAAGTGCGAACTCACATAATGTACGTTGAACTGGAGGGCCGCCATACGAGCGTTCATCTTCGCCCGCATAAACCCCACCTCCCTGCATAGACTGGCTCGTAGTGGCAGACGCGGGGAGGCCTTCCATAGCTGTGCGCTGCCTCTGTTCCCGAAGATCCCGAGCCTGTTCGCTATACTTCCTGATATCTGCCTCGTCATCTTCGGTGAAGATATATTCCTGCATCCTGCGCCCTCTGTGCCGCGCGCCGGGTTCCTTGAAAGGTAATTTGGGCGGAGGACAGCGCTCGGGGGGCGAGGAGGCACGGGCGTTCGTCCACGCTTTCGAATCTTGCGAAGGCGACTTCGTGCGACCTAAGAGACGCATGGTGAGGCAGGTCGCAGAGCAGAGCACGGGGGAGACTTAACGACAGTGGCTATATCCCCGCGCGAAACGTCTTTTATACGCGCGTAGCACGAGCGGCGGTGGCTATCCAGGTCTCCTTCGTATTAGCCACCTTCGAGTAGACTACATAAAGAGGCATTGCACGTAGACTCGGCGGCGAGCGGCACTATAGGCGGATGGGCTCTGCGGCGAGGAACATCAATCAGCGTTCGGAAACGGGAGTGCGAGGCCATTCACCACGGCGGGTGCGGCACGGTACACACAGAACTTTCGCGCATAGAGGGGTCAATACGGGAGTGGCTAATACCGCGCGCCGTGAATAAAACGGATGCCGAGGGAAAGTGAATCGCGAAACATACGCATTATGCTCGAGCTTCGAGATGAGGCGTCGTCATCGCTATCGGTATTGGCGTGTGCACACGACAACATGCAAATAGTTATCACTGCGAGGGCATATAGTGAGCGATCCATACGTAGTTGCACACATATCTACTCACTTCTTGGTGATTGAGGAAGACGCGAAACGTGTCAACAGACGTCCAGGCACTCATAAACCGCCCCCAAGAGCATAGCATGATGGCGATTATGGACGCGCGACCGCGTGCTCCCTTGTAAACCCGCGGCGCGAGTCCTACAGCCAAAGTTAGCGTTCGATACACTGAAGATCCAACTCGGCCGCACTCACCCTTCGCAAGGACGCGCAGACGTGTGTGCGCGGCCCATACTCTCGATCGAGAGCAACACTGCGCGTAGACTTCACAGTCGGTCCCAACCCGAAAAGCATACACAACGTCAATTCAAATCACGAACGGAGAACAAGAGGGCAATTGCTATGATGAGATGGATTCAGTCCGTGCAAGATCCTCCAGACGACCGCTTCCCTGAGGGTCGCGAGGTCTGTCTGGCATCAGCCACGCGAACGTCACCAGTCCCAACACCGCCTAAGCCTTCTCGTCCCCACACTCGATGGGCAATGCTGGCCTGCGCTCTGAACCTCGAATCCGCAGTTTCCGGGTAGGAGGCCTCAAGCATGCGGGGAACGTCCTCTCACGTGCAATTTCAGCGAATGCACGGACGAAAAGGTTGAAAGCCAACGTACTTTCTGCAATACTGTCGGGGCCATCCAACACCGTCCATGACGCCGATTTATCCAGACGTTCAAACACTGTCACGGCGGAGGGGGGTAGTACCAGCAACCCTTCCTGTTTGTTTGCAGGGCTGTTGTTGCTCAGCCCGTCCAACACGGTCTTGTACACGTCATAGCAACCATGGATGTCACTGTAGAAGGACTGAAAAAAACGTCTACACTGCGCACTCGAATTGCTTACCTCCGACCCTTGGCTTTACCTATGGCCCCAGCGGCGGCAGGCGCGCGACTTTGGGGGCCGGTGTCCGATGTGGACGCGTGCGCGGACGCAGAGGGAGGATCCTTCTCCTTCTCTTCCGCCACAAACGCGGACGAAAAAATCTTCTTTGTCTCGTCTTCCACGAGCGTGGATGTGGACGCTGAAAAGCGCTTGTCCGCCGTGGCCGTGGACCAGGATGCGGAGGGAGGGCCCTTCTCCTTCTCTTCCGCCACCAACGCGCACGAAAAGATCTTCTTCGTCTCGTCCTCCACGAGCGTGGACGTAGACCGGAACGCTGAGAGAGGAGTCTTCCCCTTCTCTTCCGCCACAAGCATGGATTTGGACGCCGAGAAGTCGCTGCCCCCCACAAGCGTGATTGTGGACTTTGAGAAGCTGCTGTTCGCCACGAGCGTGGCCGTGGACGAGGACGCGCAGGGAGGGGCCTTCGCCTTCTCCTTCGGGTGTTCGTAAGGGTGGGTCATGTTGGACGAAGTTGAAGGATGCTGTGATAGTGAAGTAGAGAGAGGGTGTGCGAGTGCAGATGCCGTCGACCGAGGAAGGGAGGCCGCATTTTATATGCTGGCGCAGCAGGGCGGGAGCGCATTCGCCACAGCCGAATAGACTGGAGTTGAACACATCTGATGCATAACGGAACGTACCATAGCGAGGTCAATAACGCCCAACCTGAAAGGCGAGCTCGTATTGACCGAGGACGCGCGTACGCCTTCACCATACTGCGAGGAACGAGAATGAGCGGCGCATACGTAACAACCCACATACCTGGGCGCTTCCACGCGATTGCAGTCTCAGTCGGCGGACAGACAGCAAAGAAAGAAGATGTATACAGCGCACGACGACGGTTCATATACGACACGGACGGGGTGGGTGATCGCGCGCGATGGTGGTGATTGGTGGTGATGATGCGTGTGTGTGTGGTATTGGCGTGCGAGCCCCGGACCTGCTAACCCCTGGTACAACTTTGCGGACCTCCTGCGACGCTCCAGCGAAGAGAGCGTCCTATGACTTCCAGATGAGGATGGCGAGGGTGCCGATGTAGAAGTAGATGAAGTGCTTCGTTTCTGCGCGCACAACCAGTCAGCACCAATCCACACGCCCCGCACACTCCAGTCCGCGTCCGCTCCCCCCACGACGCACCCCCTCCCCAACAACGCGCAAAGAAAGACAACTCACCATGGGTAACATACGAGCCAAAGTTCTTGCCGACGACGACGTGCCAGGTGGGCCCGTGGCGCTTGTCGAACTCCTTCTTGATCTGGGCAGCGATGTCCTTCTCGATGTTGTACTTCTCGAGCGCGGCGTGGGCGACGTCGACGGCCTCCTGCTGCATGTCCTCGGACATGTCGACGTTCTTGATGATCGCCTTCGGGCCCTGGGACGGGTCGCCGCCCTTGGCGAGGGAGGCGTCGGAGGACGTGGGCGCGTCGACTTTCTCGGACATCGCGACTGTGAGCGCGGGTAACAGAGGATGTGGGTGTGTTTCGGTGAGTGAGGGCGAGGCGAGGAGACGGTTGTGGGGACGTACGGGGAGATGTGGACGGGTTTTGAGGAGAGAGGTGGAGAGGCGCCGGCACGAGTGTTGGGTGTGGCCGGTGCACATGCCTGCAGAAGCGCGTCTTGTCTTCCGTCCATGCGCTCCCCCGCTGCTCTCCCCCCACACCACCTCTATCTCCGGCCTGCTCGTGCTCACCTCTCTGCGCTCGACGTCTGACTTCACAGAGCGGGGTTCTGAGTGCCTGTGCTCACGCTCGCCCGCTATTCTCGTCTGGGCAGATCCCACCAGATTAGCTGGAGTCTATTCGCGCATTCTCGTACGTCTTACAGCGTCCGCTCTGGGGCTCGACGTGCTCGTCGTGCGTTCTTCATTATGGACGGGAGGAGCAGCTGATGCAGCGAGCGGTATTGCATCCAGCCCCGGGGTCGCACCCCTCCGCATGCTCTCTTGGTGCTTCGCGTCTTCTGCGCCCATACTTCGCGGCACCGCGCCTGTGCCTACCCTCTGCGGTTCTCCCGTGTGGCTATACTGCGCTCCCCCATGTGCCCAAACTGCGTTCCCCTTGCGAACCTGTCCTGCACTCCTCGCTCTGGACTACGCCGGTGACGTTCATGACTCCTCGTGTTCTCGTGTTCGATCCAGTCGCCGGGACCAGTCTTCCCGCTGTACCTGTCGTATACGCCGGCGAATGTGATCTTTGCGCGAAGAACCTGACCGATGGCGCGATACATAACGCGGGGGACCTGCGCAGTCTTCACCATGCGCGGTCAGCGCAAAGAGGATGGCCACCCCGTGGACGCTTTCCGCGAAGGTGGGTCCAGGAGTTTGGCCATATAGAGCGTCCACGACTCGCAAGGCCACACTATGACCGCGCCCTCGCGCTACGTATCTCGCGTTTCCAGGGCTTCAGATCCCCGCCTCATAGCAGCCCGCGCCCGGTCGGATACTGATGCCTCCTTTACACTCCTCTCGAACCCACATGCACACTATCTCAAAACCCTGCAAACTCGCGTGACCTTGCATCCCCATATAGGCCATCAGTCCAACTCTCGAGTCGCCTCTGGGAACCCGGTACTCCAGCCAAAGTAGGTCCACTCGCTTCCACACTGTATGTTCCTATGCTCACCCTTGCCTCGTCTCCGCAGGCAACGTCCGGGACTCCGAACGTGCTCCGCGCCATCTCAACAGCGCGGGGAAAGCGCCCTCACACGCGTTCATGTCTGCGAGGGTGGCGAACGCGACCCCCACGCGCTACAGCTGGCGCGTGATTAATGCGCCTCGCCGCCCGCCGGGCCTTCACGCCTCTCGTTTGTAGTTTCTCCCATAATGGAAGGAGGCTCTAACGACTACGAAGAACGCCCTCCATCAGTCTCCTCCACACCGCGTTTCCAGATCTGACTCACTCTACTCTTGACCGCCTCACAATAACCGTGTTAGTATCATATCAGGAAGGTGCATATCCTTCACGCGCGTTCCGCGCTGCCCATACCTTTTCAAGCACCTTCCTTTTCCGCAGGTTGCCACGGGCTATTGCCTCTTGCCACTCTCAGAATACACGGTGACTCCGAATGCCACCTTCTCCAAGTGCAGCAGGGCGCTTCGGCGTACCGATGCCAGGCTACAGCTACGCCGAAAAGTGAGTACGTGTCGCCTAATTTACCATGGGACGTATGGGCTGCCGTAGGCAATACTGCTTACTACAGGCGTAACCCGGTGTGTCAAGCGTTTGCGAGGGTGGCGAACGCGACGCCCGCGCGCCCCGGCCAGCGCGTGGTTAATTCGCCTCGCCGCCCGGGGCTTCACGCCCCTCCATCCTAGTCTTTCTCCTAAAGGGGGGCGACGAGGTATCGCGAAGAACGCCCTTCTTCAGTCACATCTATCAAGTCACCTCTTCCCTAGATCTGACTCACTCCTCTCTGGAACGCCTCACAACGCCAGCCACGTTCTTGTCGATACTAGGAAGGTGCGTATGCTGCGCGAGCGTTCCGCGCCGCCCACACACTCTCCTCCCTTTTCCGCAGGCCGCCACGGGCTAGTGCCTCTCGCCATCCTCTGATCATGATTGCGCGGCGAGCTCTGAATGCCACCTTTCCCGCATGCGGCAATCCTGTTCGCCACGTCCCCGTCGACTCCGACATATAACGCGTCTCCGCAAATGCTCGAAGGCTCATCCGTGCAAGTACCCGCTCGCCACGACAGTCCCCGCCCCGCCCCGCCCCAAAATCCACTCAGTGAAGATGCAGCAGCTTCCACGCACACAAGCCGTGCCCGCAGGCGCTTCCTCTCCGCCACCTCCGCCGAGCGACCTTCCGACCGTTGTGCGCACGACGTCCGCATCGTCCGCGGCAACCTCGAACTCGGGCAAAGAGTCCTCAGAGTAAGTTGTCTTAGTGCGATAGAACCTGAGCATTCATCAGAACGACCCACAGGCGTCCCTGCACCCAGCCCGCGCGCTCGCCCGACTTCGGGTCGCTCCGCACTCGATTACCCATTGCACAAGAATCTCGCGTGAAGATGCCCCCCAGCACGAGCCCAGGTACGTGTGTTGTGTCCTACACCATTTGCTGCGCCACACAAGCTCACGCTATCCTCAGCACCCATGGAGCCGCGTAGCTACGCCGACGTTGTGATACAGCGTAATCACCCTGCGCTCCAGAACCGTGGTGGCGACGCGTCGACGGATGATACCCAAGGCAGTGGTGCTGTCTATGCGAACACGCTGCAGCGCGTCCCCGCGCCGCAAGTCCCCGCGCCGGTCGCAGACACTCGTTTCGCGGATGCCATGCCCGCTCTCCGCAAGCCGATTCGAACCAGGGGTAAAAGGGCAAAAGGCAAGTCCAGCTCGTCCGTGAAAGATGGCGAAGGTGGCGTACAGAAGTCCGAGGCGCCCCGCCTAGATGGGGGTACGTCGTCGGTCGTTCGGCTGCCACACCCCCGTACGTGATTGCTGCAGTAGTCGCGTGCGGCATTTTGTACTTGGTTTGATTCGTAATCGAGACTGCGTTCATCGTTTTCGCCCTAAGACGGCGCGTTATCTCGTTGCTGTGGCCACGCGCCCTCTCTTTGTGAGGTTCACGCCACATGCACTTGAGCACTAACCATTCGCGTCCACTCCATCGTCCCTATCATGCAGGATCTACAGGTACGTGCGTCCTCACCTCTCAGTATTCAGTGTTTATACCACGTACAGAGGGTCCGTCATCTGAACGATGAAAGCACACAGATGCAGCCGCGCTCGTCCTGTGTTATTATCGCCGATGTACGATCAGCCGCTGATCACCTCTGTTGCCAGATCAAGCTATGCACGCAATTGTCTTGTGGGACTTCAAGCGTCAAGCTTCAAGGTCCATGAGATAACAAATCCCCTCGAACCGACCACAGCCTCACGCCGCCCTTCAAACGGCCCGAATGTGGCTCCTTCTTTTACAATAAAGAGAAGGGCGTCGAAAGCGCCGAAGACCGCCCTCCATCAGTCCTATTCTACTTCCAGCCTCCTCTTTCCGACGATCTCCTCGTTCCGGTCTTGCAGGCATAATAACACCAGAGGTATCCGCGTCGGACTAGCAAGTGCGCCACTTTCGCAGGTTTCCACGAGCTGATCAACCGTCCACCACAACCATTCGCCCCAATGCAGAGCGACCTCTACAATACCATTTGCACAGCAGGTAGTGAGGATGGTGATCCATGCACCCCCATCGACCGCGCTATATAAGGCACTCCTTCCGAGGCTGCAACGCCCCCTCACCAACACTCGACACTCAACACTCGATATTCGCACATCAACAGTGGATCGCCTTAAGTCTCCATGTCGCAGCCTTCGCATTCACGGACCGCGGGCACCGACACCTGCCTGTCTCCTATGAGCAGCCCCTCGGCCGATTCGCACGCGCCGTCGGACTCGTCCGTGGCGAACTCGGACGGCTCCCTGGGGTGAGTTTCTCTAGTACGAGGGTCCGTATATGCACCTCACCCGTCTTCAGCGATACACCCATTCCACATAATGAGAGCAACCGCCGCTCAGAGACGATCCGCAGGCTCACGTGGAGCCCTCCGTGGCGGCCAAAGCCTGAGAAGACTCGCCAGGAGACTCCGCACGGTGCTGAACCCATACTAAAACCGAACGACCCGAGGGTGCTTGCCCACCAACAACGTGCGTCTTCGTCCAGAGCCCCATCGCGAGCTTCAGCTTACGTCTCATTTTCAGTACTCGAATCGCTTAGCGCAGGGGTACGCACCACGCGCTTGATGCTCGACAACTTCCCAAACCGTGGCATCACCGACTCGAACACGGGTTGGATCATGCACAATGACGCCAACTATAAACGAGATGCCCTGTCGGGGTCTACGGAGCAGCCGGCTGCTGCGCGAGGCTCCGAGGCGGCCGCAGAAACTCGTATTTCGACCAACCGCGGTGGAAAGCCCAAGGGCGAACGGACCTCGGTGCGCACAGGCAACTGCATGTCATCGAACGATGACAGTAAGGCACTGTAGTTACCCTGATTGTACACGCTCGCGTAAGTGATCACCGCACGCGGGTACGGTGTATACTTGTACATGCTGTTATCCCACAGTCTATCCTACGTCCGTCTTCGTCGTGCTGGTTTGGCGTCTCGTTCGGTAGACATGAACCCGCGCCCTCTTCCCGACTTTCACTGCAAAGTCTGCAGAGCGTAACAACTGGTCGTACTCGGACATGGTACACAATTGCAAGTCTCGTCCATACCTCTCTATGACACCAGGCCATTATGAAGGCCTTGTACGAGACTGGTCGTCAGAATGCCTCTACTTACTGCTACTTACTGAGCAGGCTCGGGTCGGAGATGCGAACTAAGCTTGCGGCCGCGCTCGTCGATCCGCAGTCAAGAGGATTGCAAGCGACTCGGACGAGATCTTGATCCCTGCCGTAAGTTGATTCTTCGTCCCCACAAGTTTCCAGACGCCAGATCCTGACTTTTCTGCATCCTCCGCTCTCGACAGACTCTCCCAGTTACGACGCCCCAGATAACCAAGGATGCCGAAGGAACCGTCCGGCCGTGGGCGCGGGCGCGGCACCCGCTCGAAGCACTACGGTCTCTCCACCTCCGTCACGATCTCGTCTAGCAGAGGAATCGGAAGTCGGGCGCACACGAGGACGGTGCACGTCGGCGACCTCACAAAGATGCCCCGGGAAGAGGGGGAGAAGTACTTCCGCGACCCGGACCTCGTCTTCGGTGAGTTGATACTCTAGACGTCAGTAACTCTGCGCTGACAGGTCTTGGGTGGGCCGGACATAGCTGTCCTAGCGGAGGCCGACCGCAAGTGTCGCGAGGCCGGTCGCCGTGCTGAGCGGGCCAAGGACGCGGAGCGTTCGCGGATGGCGTCGTCCAGCTCATGCACGGACCTTCCAGCAGGAGGAGTGGTGAAACCGGAAGAACAGCCGCTTGTCATCAACGCGCGTCCTGTCGGTCCTACGGCCCCGAGCACTGTGGTCGAGACTGTGAGACATCACGCTCCACAGATACGTAGAATGTCACTCACGAGTATATACCTCTACAGGAGCCCGCACATCTGTCACTGTAAACGCATTAGAGAAGAAGGGCGAGGAGACGAGGATGTGGTACTAGTCGCGCCCAGGTACGCCGAGGTCAAACTTAAACCCGCGCAGTCTATGGTTCAGCGCTGAGCGCTGAGCGCGCGCGACCACAGCGCAAGGTTAATTAGCACAAGCGGAACGACTGGCTCTGATTCTTGCGAAGAAAGCTACTGCGCGCTGCTGAAGAATTCGGCGATGGGCTCGAGGCGAATTCGAGCGGACTGCGTGCCGGCGTCGAGCGAGGCCTTCTCTTGATCGCACGCGTTCTCCCGTCCTCGTTGCGTAGCACATATAGACGTCGTGTGTATGCCGGCATTCAGATTCCGGCGGAGCGCGTCTGCAGGTAGAGTCATCGCTCGGGCTCCGGCAGCTCGGGATGCTCCTGGGCTGTGCACACTGTGGGAAGGATCCACATTTTTTGGAGGTGTTGGGCACAGCTACGATGGAACGACCGAAAGAGGTGTTCCGGACATTTTTGGGCGGTGTCGAGAATAAATGTGCAGAACACCTCATGTGTGCATGTTTAGGTGTTTTGCACACCTGCTCCCGACGTGTACAACAGCTTCTATAACTATTTTTAGAGGTGTTTCGGACACTATTGGGCGAGGTGTTTTGAACGGTGGTCCGAGCTGTTCCCAACGGACAAAATCAATGTGAACTACAATGCCTTGACATGTTTAAAACGCTCGCAACCGCTGTAATGCACACTGTATATGTTTGCTAATTATGATTTTCTTATTGCTACATTTACGTACGGGCCCTTTACATGCATATACGGCCTCGCAAACCGCTGGGCAGTGCCAGCACAGCGCGCCCATCCGAATGAGCGAGCGTGAGGCGGACTGGAATGAGCACGGTGCTGACTGACACGAGCGCGACCGCACGCGACATGGCCGCGGCAACCGCACGCGACATGAGCGCTGCGACCGCGCGACCGAACGCGACATGAGCGCGACCGTGCGTATCCGAACGCGACGCGACGCGACTACGAATGGCACAAGCACCGCGAACGCATACGACACGTGTGCCATGACCGCGAGACAACGCGAGCAAGTGCGACATACTCAGCGTGGACCGTAAATGCGACTGAACGCGCCTTACTGCCCGTACTAGACTCCCTCGTCGCACAACCCCTCATCCCTTGCCTTCTGTGCCCTATCCCCACATTTTCCAAGCCCTGACAGAGCGACGCAAGAACGCACCTGTAAGAGCAGGTTTGAATGTCCTTCTAGACGCTATCGCCGTAAGGGACCTAACGGGGCCGAGGAAGCACGAGCTACAGAGTGTGTGAGAGGAGAATAAAACGTGTTAGAAGCACCAAGACAGCGGCGAGTAGGCAGAGCTTCAGCAGCGCGAAGTAGGGCGGATAGCAGGTCAGGCGCAGAGGCATGAGCACAGATGGAAGGGGGTTGTCGTGTGAAGGAATCGGAGCTTGGTGGGCATAGCGAGACAGGGCGCAGCAGAAAGATGGAAGGGTGACAAAAAAATAAAGCACGAAGAGCACAAACGAAACTGCACCTTTGACGGGTGGCAGTAAAGACGGGAGCTGCCATATTCTGGAGGACCCGGTTGCGTAGACACTATAATGACAGGGTCAGTAGAGCGAATACGAGGAGAGATGACAAAGACGCGCCTAGGAGACCAAAAGGGAATGGTTGCAGATAAAACACAAGCACAAGTACGAGCAGGACACCAGGAGCATATATCGACACATACACTCACTGTATGCCGTCCCCGCATCGCGACGCCCAGCATGCAAACCCATGACACATAACTGAGTAAGCTACCTAGAGGGTAGTTCAAGGAAGCTAGTGGCCAGAGCTTGAGATCTGAGTTTCATAGCGGACAAGCACAGCGCGCAGAGGGATCATCGTGGTTCGAGGTCAAGATGCAAGACGACCGGAGGGAGCGTTTTCGCCAAGTTGCTAATGACGTCATCGCGATTTCCTTCCTAATATAGAAACACGCATAGACGCCCGGATCGCCGTCTCAGCCCGTCGCCCTCTTCTCCCTTTCTTGCTCTCTCTGGCCCCTTGTGTATCTCTATTTTTCTGTTTCTCTGGGACCCGTTATGCAAGACAAACATGTCTGAATTTCCTATGCAACTAGACCTGGCGCAGTGCCCATGGCAATAGAGCCGTATGACTCGTATGGGACATTGCGGCACTGGCTTCACATCCGAGCGGGGCATCAGGCTAAGTTCTGGTAAGTCAGGAATCCGCTCGTTCACTGAAATCTGAGATGTGCAATGTTTGTGCACTCAAGGCAGCGCGACGGGTGGCGCATGCGACGCGCCAAGAGGGCGACACGGCATAGCAGCATGGGATGACATGTTTGCGCTTTACGCCGCGCTCGCGCCGGCCGTGTCATAGCTTCAGGTTTCGCAGGTGAGTAATATTGTTTCAAATTATCTGAAGGCGACGAAGAGCTATGTCTGCGTCCAAAAGAAACCACCTTTGGCTGCGCAACTCTCGCGCGTGTGGGGCTGAGGGCTGTAGTACGGCTCTTTGAAGCTGTGGCCAGTCGAAGGAAACGACCTCCGCAAGTAGTGTCGCATCGTCGCGCAAACGATTTATGCCGGTGGGCCCATAATTCCCGTTGCCGTGTCGGTTTGGTTTTGAATAGCGCGCATACAGAGGCGTACCAGACTGGTGCGTCACGAAGCCACCAAGACTTGATTTGCGTTGTAGGAGCGCGGGAGCGTGCATAGGCGAAGGAGGATGGTTCGGTCGAGGCGGTGGGCGTGCGCATGGACGCGACACTGCTAATTCTGAGGGCGACGAGAAATTGATCTAGCATTCGCATGGACTGCAGGTTCGACGCAGGTAGTTTGAAGAGCTGTGGAAAACGCCTCTTGGTGCTGTCGCTGTGGAGAACACCTCAGCAAAATGTGAATATAAGAGGCGTGCAGAACACCTCAACGCACAGACAGCGGTAAAAGGTGTTTGAAACACCTACTTATATCATACAATTATTAGAGGTGTGCCCCTTTTCAGTGTTTGAAACACCTTTTTTGGGGGCGGAGGTGTTCTATACACCTCTAACAGGTGTCAATCCTTCCCACAGTGTGCACCCTGGTCGAGGTCAGCGGCGTAAACGTGCAGGAGCCTTGAACATACTGGCAAGAGCAATCCCGCAGCGTAGTCGTATGAGATGATAAGGTGCATGAAAGTCGTGAATGAGAACGAGGCAGGGAGGACACATCACTACGTGGAGCAGCAAAACGGCAGGATATCTATGCAGAGCAGGGCGAGACTCGAAACTTACAAACACGGGATTAACGTCCGTAGAAGAAATGCTCGAGCTCTTCCGGGGATACTGTAACATCGAACACATCCGCCCACCACGTGTAGTCGATAGCCTCGGTAGGCGAAAGGTGCCTAGCATGATGTATGAATGCCAGCAGTTCGGGTTCCACCTCAGCCTCCGAGGACATGGTGTCGAGCGCGATATCTCGAATCTGGAGGATCGCTGAGTAGTTTTCGAAGTCTTCCACACCAGAGATCGAGATTTGACTTCCGCGAACCAAGGGGGATGGCTGCCCATCCGAAGGGCGAGAAGCACGTACGAGAGTGATTCGACGTCATACACGTCAGAGTACGGCGCTGCACTCCGCATAAACGACTATACGCGCAATGTCATGAACGAGACGTACCTTCCAGACGAAGCGCTCTGTCCGATGCATAGGCCCAGCACAAAATAGACGCCCCTTCAGCGACCTTGGAATGAAAGCCGCTCATGCGTGCCCATTGGTAGTCAATGAACACGGGTCTGATGGGCTCGACGACTGTCTTCCCTTCCAGGATGGTCTCCCAGACGGACCACGAGCGTGTAACGCCAACGTTCCCTGGACGGATATCGCAATGGAGAACGTCCTGTTGGTGCAGTTTCTCCAACGCCAGAATCTAGGAGTTACCACGGACTTGTTAAAAGTACTATAACAAGACATATGGAATGGTAATCGTACCAGCCGTTTGGCGCACCACGCTACGATATTGTAAGGAAACGGTCCGTTTGTAAAGAGAACTGATGCTGAAGGGAGCGAATGAGACTCGGAGGAGAGAATTAAAAAAAATAGAAGCCGGACTCACGGCAGTCCCTTGACTTGAGGGTGAACGGCGATGCTTCGCACACCAGATCCGATCCCACTAGTCTAGGTACTGCAGATTACATTTGTCACTTATAATACGATTGACTGCGTGTTATACTACATATGACAGGATAACAACTTCACAGCCGTTCAGGACGCTGGCACATTGCAGGACAGAGGCACAGCTTCGTACACCCAATGAGAGAGGTGGATGCATACCAGAGTACCGCGCCATACTCGTCGGTGGAAGATACGTTGTACTCGCGCGCTAATCCGATCATGACTTCCGCTTCTAGCATGCAGCACACCAGGAGTATCGTGGAGAGGAGCGGGACGCGGGCGGATCCAGCAAGGCTTACAATCGCAATGATATATGTACACGAGCTGAAAGTCGCGTGCAGGTTGGAGACGCTGAGCCGCGCACTGCGCATGTCATTATATCATTGCTTGAGATAGGTGAGACTAAGATTAAACACCTACACGCACGAGAAGAATGCATGCGGAGCGCTGACGGGTGGTCAGTTTGAGCGTGCAACCAAGCCTGAATGTGGCAGTCGGCAGGAAGACAAAACAGCGAGCTTGCCAAAGCTTTCAACGGGCTGAGAAACGCTCCAGAGAAACAGCGACAGAAATATAAAAGGTTAGCTTGCACGAGCTCGGGGCTCAGTGGAGTGCGAACGCGGGCGCGGGGGAGTGTAGTCCACCACTACCATACAATATGCAGCTGCAGTCAGCTCACACAACGAGCGAACGAGTCGCACGGCGGAATGAAGTCCGCGGCCACGTATCGATCCGAATACATATTCTCGACGCGTTGAATTCCTGCGGACAAGCAAACCGAATCAGACACCGCTGCTCGATACGAGGGGATAACGCTGGCAAGGCACTTACAGCTTATCAGCTCTGGCAGCGTCTGTAGGCCATCGGTATGGATATCGAAGCGCAAGAAATACTTTGTGGAGACGTCCAGGTGAATTCATGAACAAGGGGGACGATACTGAAAAGTCGACGAAGTCGCGTCCGTGTTGCGAGGTGCAGACGCCACAAAGGACAAACAAAGGCAAGCTGATACAAGCGCCCTCAAGTGATGGAAAATTACGGAAACCCACGGACGAAGCCGGGTTCGCCTGGATTCACGTGACCGATCCATTTCTCATAGGCAAGACCAAGGCAAGACCGATTCTTTGTGGAATCGGAATTTTTCGATGTTGAAGCACACGACCTTGTGCAAGACCAGCGCGTGGCTACTCGCCCCAGCACCAAAATCTATGTGCCTTTCGCAGATGACGGGGAACTGGCAGGCGCGTTGCACGTAGGAGTACATATAGAATTCCCAGTTGATATAGTCCCAATTTCCCATTTTGATGAAGTGCACCTGGTCGGTGTGCACGCGCACAGCTACCCGCCCGGAGTGGTTGCAATCGATGAGGCCTAGGATCAAAGTTGCTGCAGACCGTCAGACGGCTCTTACTCACCAAGTAAGGCCCTGCCTTGCAAGTCGGGCAGCGTGAGGCGGAGTGCGGCGAGCTCTTCAGGGAGAATAGGGTTCCCTAGAGTCTCAATGTTGCACAACATGTTGGCGGTCTATAGCAGAGAGGTGAACACTGAACAGAACAGGTGGCGAACGCGCAGGCCCAGCGCACTCGTGCGGGCCAATATTTTGACCCGAAATGACGAGAAATACCATATAAGGCGATTAGGCGCCTACCACATTCGCCTCTACCGTCCGCTCGCTACTCACTCTCGCACAACTCCCACCCGTGCTCCCACCTCTCCCGTCCGCGACCGAAACTCCCGCTCGCGATGGCCCACCAGCGATCTACGATCAACTCTCAAAACTACTTGTCCGTAAGTCAAACCACATCGGCAATGCAGTGTTCTGAACCGTTTACCAAAATCAAGTGTCCAGACAACCAAAACCTCGCGCCGCCCATGCGCCATGCTTTCCGCCTGTGGATCTTTCTGTAACAGTCAGGATGAGGGTGTCAAGATGACACGAAGACCGCCCTCAAACAGTCCTATGCGACATAGATCAGGGGTTTCCCACTCCAGTAGTACAGGACGCCTCACGGCACCGGCCGCATTTGCGTCTTACTTGGAAGGTGCGCATCTCCCGCAGAATCTCCCCGCCGATCATACGCTGACTGAACATTTCCTTTCTACAGGCCACCACGCACGAGGCATGCCATCATCTACCTCGATGCAGGTGACTTTGCAGCCCACTTCGCGCAGCCCACCGCGAGGGCGATGGTCGTCACATCCCCACTGACCACGCTATATAACGCTCTCCCAGCCCATCCCCAACTCGAGAAATACAATTAGCCCTCAGTCGACATCCGACACTCCCACCTCAACTCTTCGCCAGCCCCACGCTAAACCGCCATGTCGCAGTTTTCGCGTCCACACCCGACCGACTATGCCAACGACCGCCCGCGGTCGTCTCCTGCGGACAACGCCCCGATCGTTTCGCGTACGCTCTCAGAATCGTCGGTGGCGGCATACTCGGACGAAGCGGCACCAGCGTGAGCTCCTTAAACACAAGGGTTCGCGTGCATTCATCTCACCTGTATTCAGATACAGCCTCGTTTACATCCCTGAGAGCGAGCGCGGCCTGCAGGCTGTCCCGAGGAGCCTTCTCTCCTTGCGCATCACTTCTGAGGAAGCTTACCAGGATACCTCGCGCACGGCGACTGCTTATCATCACCGTAAGTCATCCTCGTTATCCTGCTGCGAGCTTTGCGCTGACGCCCCGAACTCAGTACTCATGGTCATACTTATTCAAGTTATCGCAGCAAGCATATCCTTCTCCAACAGCGCCGCCTTCTCGACAGACGACAACGACGCCGGTGGATACGTGCACGACAGTGATCCCAGCGATGAAGGGCACGCTCTGAGTGGAGGTTCAGAACAGCCCGCCGCCACTCTGCGAGACTCTGAGCCGGCCACAGAAGCTCGACCCTCGACTGCCACCCGCGGCGGCAGCAGAAATGCCGGGAGCGAACGGAGCCGAGAAGGCACAGACAACTCTGCTTCATCCGCCACGAACGCCGAACGCGATGGCCAGGAAGGACAAGGTGGTGATGACGGTGAGACACTCTAGTTCCCTCGGCTAACACGCCGCCCCGTGTGGATGGTCACCGCATGTGCACACGGTACTTGTACATGTTTTCATTCCAAAGAATATCGACTCAGCGTCCGTCTTTTTCATCCTGAAGCGACCTCTTGTTCCGTCGCTTTGAACACGTGCTCTAAATACACGACGCCATCGTACAAACCAGTGAATATACCTCATACCAGCATTCGCGCTAGTTCACTTGGTGAGAACGGGGCGGAGAGGGTCACTGTGCGATGGGCCGCCACAATACACTTACGCGTCCTTTCTCACCCGTTCTATCATCCCTATCGCGCAGCGTCGCCCCAATACATGCATCCTTCCTTTTCAATCGCTCACCCCGAAACAGATCCCATACCGGGAAAGTACGCCCAACTCGAACGGGCACGCACAGCACTGCGCTGCGACAACCGGAACCTTCCTAAGCCGTATGTCTCACTAGGTCCCCCATTTTGTGGTGCGTTTTGTTCAAATATGCACCGCTGATCTCGCCTTTCCAGGTCACGGTGCCACTGCACGAGAGGAGACGTGTTCGGATTTGGGTATTGGACCTAAACCAAATCCATCGTATCAACTCGTGGAAGGCTTCTCGCCATCCGGAGCGCCTCGCCGATCCTGTACCGCGCCTTCCTGGGGCCCAGTTGCTCCTCAGCCTGTTATAAAGGGGCGGAACACCAAGATGCCACGAACAGCGCCCTTCATCAGCGTCGCTCTGAGGCGCATTGCCTCCTTCCATATTCGTACTCGCTCCGCTCACGGAAACCTCCCAATGCGAACCGTTATTGTGACATACACGGCAAGTCCGTCTTGCTGATGGGCCGTCCGTGGGGTCGCGTCGAACTCATTCTATTCTGCAGGCAGCCACCGGCGTCATGCGCGGCGCACTCTGCATGGGGCACGAGCGGCAAGCGGCGAGGACAACGCACGCAACGATGCGTCAAGGCCACACGCCCCTGGATATCACTATATAATGCGCGCCCTGCGGTACTCGACCTCAGTATTCACATTTGACCTGACCACGCTATCCCGTATGCCGCAACTTCCTACCACCAAAGGCGAGCCGCTGGCAGTTCCCAGCCTCCCGCTGCCTGCCACCCCTCGCCCTGCTTTACAACCTTTGTTTCCCACGGGCAACGAGACATCAGGGAACCCGGACGAAGAGTCGGCGTCGTGAGTGTTTGACCGACGCCACAAGTCCCGAGCATCTCCAATATCCGTTTTCTGGTACACCCACAGTCACGCCGGGAATGGACCTAGCCCACAGTTGTCCCCCACCATACATACCCCAGATGCCGCGCCGAAGGGCCTGGAGGGCGACGTCCAGAAATCGCCGAGTGAGTTGCCGGAAGCCGTCCGCGCGCGCCGCTATTGTAAGTGTAAGCTGGGTGCTTACCTCCGACCCTCAGACAGCCTCAGCCTGGTCAACGCCACCGTGCCCCAGGGAGATGGCACGGGTAATGAGATGGACGACAAGCAGGACCGCGACTCCGGCGATGACGGAGGGTACCTTCCGCGAGGCGGCGCCACTATGAGGCAGCCTATCACTTTGCAGGACACAACGCCTACCGCGGACGCTCACAATGGGCACGTCACCCGAGACACCGAGGGAGAAGGCGAGTCCGGTGAATCCGTGGAGGGCCCAACCCATGGTGGCGAATCGGAGGAGTCAGGTCCTGGTGGGCGCCGCGCGCTCTGATTTTCTTGACGGGGTCGCCCTATCCAGTATGTCTCGAATATTATTCGTGTACCGCCCTTGTGGATGTTCCGAATGTGTCAGTAAGATCCCAAGCATCGTCGGGATGACTTTGTAGATTCCGAGTGTATCGACTGTTCCGACCTTTCTATGCTATGTAGTATGTGCACACGGCCACCTTGCAAGGCTCCAAAGCAATGTCGAGTATAGCATAAGCCATGCTCGCGACGCAGATGTCTACATTGGATCCCTTGGGTGCGCGGCGGGTCGCCAAATGCCTGAGTGACTCCGCGGATTTATGCGGGTGCTATGAAACATAATGGGAAGGGCCGCCAAAAGACCAGGAAAATGCAACGTGCAGAGTTCGGTGACATATTAGATACGTTGTACAAAGCGATCAAGTACTCGACGAAGATACAGACAAACAGGAAGACGAGGCGGAGCGGCGCATACGAAGAAACGGGAATCCTTCAGTCACTCACATGGCCGGCGGAGGTGTTGTCATCGACTCTGAAGGGCGCTGTCAATACAGTTGACGCAAGACGTCCTCCGTGACCAATAGCTTACCGTGCGCCAGCAGTATCCGGGTGCGTACTATGAGTTGCCGGAGGCTCGGTGTCGATTGTCGGCACAGGCTCGGTGTTCCTGCGTTGGGGACGGCGCGTGTTACGACGATGCAATCCAAAAACTGGCTTTGCAGCGGGCTCGGTGCGTGGAGTGTAGATCTGGGCCTTCAGGATTATTTGCTCGATTGCCGCCTTGATTTTACCGAGCTCCCTGAAAGAGATAAAACAACAATGATGAGCAATGTCAGCCATGGTGGCGAGACAACGACGGGATATACAAGGATATCGTATCTGCCATATCCTGTATCGACTCCCGTACCGAATCTCCAGGGGCCAGTTGTTCCGTCTTAATCTTGGCTAGTGTATTCGTCGTCGTTTGGGATGCACCCGCTTCCCTGTCCAGTGCCCGCAATTCTGCAAGATTCACAATCGTGTACCTAGGCTCGGACGATTTCTGATAGAATTGATGAATACGTCAATATTGACAGAGTAGGGGAGGTGCGTTGTGACCACGTAAACTCACTGCTACAGCTATCGCTCTAGCCAGGTCTTGCGTTCCCGAAGGGAAATATGAATCGTCAGACAAGACGACGAGAACATAGCGAGTGCCGAGAAGGCGGCGTACCGTGATAGCTTTGCCCATCCTTGTCTTCGTCCAGGTATTCTTCTCGCTCCTCACTCGGGGTAAAGAGTTGAGGCGTGATGATGAAATCTCGGGCTTGGGGCGAGATCGACATGGCGGAATCAGAGGAGTAGTGTCGCGCTGATGAGCTTGAGTACTAGTGGCTAGTCGTCGAATGCGTCTGGATTTGAGCGATGCAGCACCCTTTATATAGGTATCCTTAGAGGGTGGCGATTACGACTGCAGGCGGCGTTTGCTGCATTCAGATGGCAGTGGTATTTAGTCTCCTTCCGAGGTTGCCTTGCCACCAGAGGGCGGCATGCACAACTTGACTCGTGAACATTCATTGAGATTGGCGGACCTGGATACTATCTATGACGTCCCAATACCGTAAGGAGAGAACATGAGAGCGTTATTGAGTAAACTTGCCTTTCAAGCAGCGCGATGCGACGATCGGAACAAGCACTCCTGGACAAGCAGCAGTGGGCCACCCTATAGACTGGTGTGCCACGCTATCTTTCCATCTGCGGATACCGTGTGGATACGCTCTATCTTGTGCCACCAAGAAAAACGTCGCCGCCGGGGGTCGCACCGTGGTTGACGGCGTTTCGCTTGACCGGACAGTGCAGGTGGATGGCGCGTGAGGTATGCGTTTTGTTTATCTATAATATCAGGTATTATGTGTACAGTGATGTGTATAAGCTGTTATAGTGCGTTTGTTATCGAGTAAACGGTGTGGGTGATCATGTCGATCGGATCCACTTACCGTATTCAACGGCTCGCGGCAGGAAGGCTCGCACTATTCACAACCAATGCTACTATAGGGCTCTTTAATCAAGCTTCTGTAGTCTTCTTGAAGCCGTTGCGGGAAGTCTATGAGAAGAAAGTGGAAGCAGGAGTGAGTGAGGCCTTGAGGCCCGGCCCTACTTAGGTGGCGGTCGAGAAGAAGGTAGACAGGCGCCCGCGTTGTGGCGTTAAACCGTCCCGTCTCCCCGGACGACGGACGTTGGATTTGATGCTCTCCTCCTCTCAACGTGTCTCTCATCTGCTTGATTCACCCGCGCACTGACTTCGGCATCCAACATTTCTAAATGCCTCGCTATTGCTCTCGTGCTCGTCGAGGGCGTTCTGAGTGTTGCCCGCCGCCACACATCGGCCCACTCCAGCCTCTCAGGATCTGTAAAGGTGTCGTCTTCGTTCACACCTTATGCATATACTTTCACTAATCGGTTTTCCCGCGAGTAGTATACACTGCCGTATGAGACCAGCGCGACAACCATGACAGCGGCGCGTCGCAGAAGTTGAGCCTCGGACGCCCACGGCGCATGGCGCTGCAATTACGCTTGTGAATAAAAGAACTCACTCAAGCGCTTTTCTGACCGCGATTCATGCTGCGGTTTCTCATTTTGATGAATCGGATATATTAGAATCGAGGCATACAAAGAACGCCCACAGTCAGCCGTACCTATTTGGGCTCGCATTGTACTAAGAGGTGTGGATTTTCTATACCGCTCCGTGCCTCGCTGATTATACTCTATTCTTTAGTTCGCCATTTCTGATTATGACACATTCTATATGCCGAGTGAAGAGCACCCTTTGCGCAACGAGGGCGAACGACGGTATATATAACGCCCAGCCTGTGACTCGGTGGAAGGCACCTCACTTGCCCCTCGGTACTCATTCCCATCGCACGTAGACCCTTACCGACCACTCCCGCTCCGCACAACACTTAGATGGTGCAACTTAATCCACACGTCGACCCCCATGATGCTCCCTTGCTCGGCAACGATCCTTTCACAGATTCGGCTGCGTGCTCGGTGTCTGAGTGTCTTCCAGAGGGACTGAATGGAAAGCCTCCGCCGTGAGTTGTCATAGTCTGAGACGTACCAAGTGTGTCTCATATTCGTTTCCAGGTACCCCTTCCACTGCCCGAACTGGCGAGAGAGCGTCCAGCAGGCCGCCTTACGCCATAATGACCCCGCGCCGCACATCGGGCAAGATACTTCACAGGGCTCAGACTACGCGCATGGCGACTCGAACCGCCGTGCGTATACTCCCGAGACCGGTATATTGTCTCCACATTCTCGCTGCGCGCTTCCCATAAACTTACCAAGGGCCGTTTCCAGACATCGATAGCAATGACATTCCTGAAGCATTCACCTTCGCGCCATGCTCCTGCGCTTACCCCACGTTATCATCGAACACCCAGAACGTGCACGGGAGGCGGTATGTGTCTATCCAAACACCATCTCTTCGACGGAAAGTTGCTGACACGACAACTTTCCGTGCAGCACTTCAGCTTCGGGATCTGGAGAGGTAGTCGACCATTCACGGTACGTCCGCCTCTCGGATTGCGAGACATCTAGTGTGTCACTTACCACAGAGCGTGTACGATTTTAGCGCAGGTATGGTTTACGATGAATCATCCGCACACCTTGGTCAACGAGCCCCAGTCCCTCCTCTGACGCAGTCTACGAAGGTAAGCCGTCTCATGGCGCTACAACACATGTTCGACCGCTAACCCCCGCATGACTTATCGTTTCCAAAGGTCGATCAGACCTTGTTTGAGCGCGTGAAGAGTTACCCCCGCCGGGGCATCCCGTGTGGTATTTTCGAGCTCGGTACGTTCATTTGACACAACCCTCTTCCGGCCTGCGACAAACTGATTTCCTTCTGCATGCCACTCCTTGAAACTCCGGGCTATCTTCTTCCAGAGCCTATGTTTATGACGTCACTCACTCAAGCTGTAGTTCCCCTCTCAGACGGTCTGTGTGAGGAGTTACTCGGCAAAGCTATCTCGAGATCGCTCAGCAAAAAGCAGCCTGGCTGTGGCGATGGCCAGTCGAAGCCCATCGAGTGATCTTGCATTCGATTGGCCTACCCTGCCTGGTGCAAGATTGGATGCACACCCCGGGTGCGCTCCGTCAGTATTCCATTCGTCGTCCATGTTCCAGTGATCCCGGGCATCCTGCGCATGTACCGGTTTTTATTCTGTCATGCGAGAAACGTCGTTTCAGTCAACGTCGACTTACATTTTCTCCTATTACTACGGTCCGGTCAGAAATACGCAATCGAGGTCCCTGTTTGCTCTACACGACACTCTCCACTTCCGTGTTGGTTCTATCTGGAAGGCGTCGCGTGGCGTGACTGCCACATCAAAGTACCCGCGCCGACATTCAGCGCTTTGAAACCTAATCGCTACGGCCTTGGAATACTACGAATCCTGGTATGTGTGTTTTTAAACCGTTTCCGCCCACTCCTTTGTGCAGGTTTTTCGAATCAATCGAGTGCATTGTGGCTACCGCTTATTACCGACGCTGTTCTATTTTCTCAGAGGACGTTCACAACGCCCATAGCTGCCGTATTCGCTGTATGGCAAAGGTTTCTATCCAGAGCTGATTGTAATGCCCTATATACAGTCGTTATTCGTCTATGCACTGCCGGCGCGACAACGGCGGCGCGACAACGGCGATGAATACCGTGCGCGGCGGCGCCTCCGTCTATATAACCTGTACCCTCCTCCCCTTCATCTCGTCAACCGCTACTGGCCTTACCTCCTCAACAGGGATCTCTAATTGTCCTACCGAAACGACTATCCTCCCTGCGTCTACCTCACTATGCAACGTCCTGACCCCGAGAAATGTGCAGCCTGCGGCGCCCAAGTGCCTCCCAAATATCGCTACATAATTTGAACCTTACTAACACGCTTCGCCCAACACATGGCCTGACCAGCGCGACGACAGGGAGCCGGAGAAGGTGCACACCTCGAATTCGATGTACGTCCGGTCTGCGGCTGCGGTTTCGTACGCCTCACGAATTCAAACCGACCTTTCTTCTCCACTGTCAGCACCGATGCCGGCGAGGCAGACCCTCCCAACGAAAGAAGCCCGGAAGAAGATGTTGCTCAGGATCACGAAAACACATGGGACGCACTTCGCGAGCCATGGGCCACTTCGGACCCGATGCTGGCGTTGGATCTGGCTGTCAAGCAAATTCTGCACGGTAAGTCTCCTGTTTCTCCGTGTTAAGCTTTGTTCTGAAAGGCGTTCTTCCAGACGTTATTAGCCGTGCGCGTCGTGCTGGCGGACTCCGGCTCGCAGAACGGTACATCAGTGGCGTACGCGCGATGTCATCCAACGGGGAAGACGGACGTGGGACCAAGAGGCTCGATGCAGGCCCAAGCGAAGATGCGCCCTCACGGACGCGGCGCCACCCCGCCCACAGAGTTCGCTCGGGGACCACCCGCGACGTCGAAGTGAGTGTTCCTGTGTATGAACGGCCCGCGGGGAATGCCAGTGCTGGGATCGCCTCTGCGGTCGATAGCAGCGAAGACCTCAGGGCGCGCGAATCTGCTCGAAGTAGCAGCAACGAGGACGCTACTGCGCACTGACGTTCGAGTCGGCAACCTTCTAGTACTAATCATCACTGTACCGCCGCACACCTCACAGATTATATACGGCCGCCGGGCCTCGCTTGTGATGATGCTTACCTTCTTTTGATCCATGCGAGCTATTTCATTCTCACGTGTAGTACAGGTGCCCTCGCGTTCGTTGTACCAAGAAGGTGCGCCACAAAGTAAGGCGCGCACTTCTCCTACCATGAACTACCTCCACGCACCGCCCGCTGAACATATTATACAGATCCCGCGCCATATTTTGCTAATCTGCGACTAGGTCCGAGAACTCGTCTCTCGCCGGCCCTTGCAAGCGCGATCGAAGATCCATAGGCGCGACCCTGTACCGCCTTCAAGTTACATCGCTATACGTCTGCCAATTGAGTCTGCATGGGCCGCCCTGCCTCACGCCCACTCTGGAGGGCGCATACAGGACCGTCCTCGTGTCTGGTGTCCCCTATCAGCACGCGCCAGGCGCTGCCCTTGTTCTCGCACCTGCTCGGGCCATTTTTCAAAATGACTCGCATGGGCATCGCCACCATTCCTGCCTATAAGTAAACCGCGTTTCACAGAGCTCACTGGGCCAGATCTCCATCTCCTGGTCCTCTCTGCTCTAACTCGCCCCCTTCGAACAGTGTCACCGGTGCTATGTCCCACACCGCTCAGATTCGCCCCGACTTCGACGTTGCCTCTCACAACAATCAAGACCTCGAGGAACACCCACCACATGCTATGACAGCACAGGATAGTGATTCCGACGTTAAGGAATGTCAGTGTATGCCCGAAGCCGCTGAGAAGATGAAGGTGTCTCTCGTCCTCGCCTACCAAACACTGGTAGGTTCGGAACGCTCGTCAACCAATGTTCACCTATTCCAAGAGCTAACCACGAACGTTGCGCAGGAAACTCGGCTTGCGGGTGACAACCGCCTCTCCGCATTGAGTGTCGACCAGCCCAAAGGGCCGCTCGCACCGGCTGGCACGATGACGCCAACGTCGCTCTCGCCGCCACAGTCTCACCGCTCGTCTATCGCCGGCAGTCAACAAATATATATGCCATCTGCGCCGTTGTTTGAGCCGCGCTCGCGCTCAGATAATGCAGTAACCGGCTCTGAGGATGCTGCTTTCCCCATGGACTCCGTCTCGGAGTCTGTGCGCCACTCTCCGGGTAAGCCGCGCCACAGACTCTGTTCCCGCTCTGTCTTCGGTATCTGACCAGAGACTGCGGTGTCTACAACAGAGCCAGACGATTCCTACGACTCGGATTATGTTGAATGTTCCTGGCGAAGCAGGTCCAGTCCCATCTTGTTCGGCGACTATGGCTTCGACGAGTACTGCTAACTGAACCGTTTACGCTTTGTCTGCTCTCTCTGGTTCCGCCCTTCGCCGTTCTCTGTTACACAACCGTTCAAGATGAAGATGAAACTTGTGCTCTTGATATGGGAGGATCGCGGTGTATGTCTCATGTAGCATTGCATGGACCTCCTTAAAGGCCACTGCGCCGTAGCAGGACAGCATGCGCCAAATATACTTTCAATTGTTTCTCCCACTGCTCCCTACCCTCTTCCCCTTCGTCTTAGAAGTCACACGATGTTCTTGCCAGTGAGGACGTGGCGACGGAAACAAGTAGAGTTGCATGAAATCAATGGTGGTCACTGGTCGTCCGGGCGGAGTTTGGGCCAATATAGGCGCCCTGTCCGCGACATGCGAGTCGGCTTGGTTCCGGCCCCTCCACTCCGCCTTGACTTCACTTTCGAAACCGTGTATATCTATCACCTCTGTCCCCTCACATAATCCACCAGGATATTATCCGGAAGGACGAAGCGTAGTCCTCTCAGACTCGCGCGTCCCTTTCAATGTGGCCGGCGCGCTAACTCCACGCTCGAGACGACGAACCCAACCGCATGCGTCACCCTCACCCCTTCTTCGAGTCGTATTTATTGCTGGTTTCACGGCGCTTGTCGCGGGGCCTGACGCGCGAATTTCGCGCCGCGCGCCCGTCTGGAGGGTGTCGACGCGGATCGTCGATAGCTCGCTCAATACTCCATGAAACTCACTATTCCTTTCAGATTCGGATTCTCCTCATCAGCGCGGAGGGCACGGTACAAGAGTCATTGCGAAATACGAAGGTTGAGCGAAGGCCTCCTCGGGCACCTCCCCCAAAGCAGAACTGAGATTACCCGCCAGAATCCCGTTCAATAAAGCTAAAATTCTGTGTGATAGGTTCTATGACACTGTACAGAGGGCACTGGTGTTAAACAAACGAACTACACGAAGGGGTCATAGTAGTAGCATGCTCTTCCGTTCTGCCCTGCCAGGCCGAGCTCAGATGCATCCTCTAGATGAGGTTCGTTCTTACTCATTCACACAGATACATGATTCCAGGCTCAATAATGATATTACTGACTCTTAATAAAGACTTTCTCGGTGTTACGGGGATTTTGAATACGCACAACAAGGTCTGCTCGGTTGCGATGACGTGGCGCTCACACCGCTCTGCTACACCTGTTAATATTGGCGCTGTCGTCGCGAATGGGACGGCCAGATAGGGAGGATACATAGGGTGCTATACAGGAGATATAGATACCCCAAAATGTAGGAACAATACTATGCCTGTTCACCCCCTCAAGCCAGATTGACAGACGCTCGCGTACATCCCGACGATCACGACCAAACTACCTTCATGCCCTCTATATACATCAGTAGCCTATGTCAAATTGCATTCCAGCGAGAGCAAGGGACGATGTCGCCTGTTGTGCTGGTTCTGCTTTGGGGAAGGTTCCCGAGGAGGCCTTCACTCAACCTTCGTATTTCGCGCTGATTCTTGTACCGTGCCCTCCGCGTTGATGAGGAGAATCCGAATCTGAAAGGAATAGTAAATTTCATGGAGTATTGAGCAAGCTATCGACGATCCGCGTCGACACCCTCCAGACGGGCGCGCGGCGCGAAATTCGCGCGTCAGGCCCCGCGACAAGCGCCGTGAAACCAGCAATATCTAGATAGGGCGGTGTTTCTCATACCCAAAAATCAACGTGATATGCGAAACACTTACTGGTCGCGCGTATGTCCCTGCTATGTGTCGCGCTCGGGCCCATGTCGCATCAGGTCCTCGCCAAACCCTTATTCTGCCTATAACCTGGCCACCACTTCTGGCAGTGCGTATTCTTGGGCTCTCTGAGGTCCGTGCGACCTCGATTTCTGCTCTGAAACTCGCTTCGTCGCAGATACTTCCCTGTATTGTCACTCGCGGCGCTGACAGCCTGGGTATTGCGTATGTCTGCATCGACCAAACAGGTGGGACCAGGTCCAAGCGCAAGGTAACTCCTATACCAGGTTCATGATGTATATAAACACGCTCATCATGCTTTCGTCTCGTCATTCGCCGCTCATTCTGCAGATCCAAGAGATCAAGTCTGCTCATTAATACGCGACCACCGTTCTTTCCACAGTCTACTACCACGATGCAGCAGACGCGCTATGAAGTGATCAACACTCCGTAAGTATCCGATTGCACCCATGCATCTCGGTATCAAGACACTAACGTACCTCCGCAGAACGCTTCTTGCCCCATCGCCTCAGATAGAGCCGAGCCCTGGCAGTTACGCCGAATCATTTATTCTTGCCTCCCAAGCAGTCGACGCCGAACGCGCGGCGAACCAGGCGCGCCAGGCCGGTACGTCTTCCCACCTGCCCCAACATAAACCCCGCTCACTAACCTTTCACCGTCCCTAGCTCTCCTCCGCAGCATCCAGGAGATGTCGCCCACCGTCCTAAGCCTCGCCAAGAACCTCGAGCGCTCGCACACGAGCACCAAAGCAGCCAGGAAGGAGCAGCGGTCCTCAGCGGCGCACGGCCTCGTCGCGCAGGGCGGGACTAGGGAGAACCGCAAGACGGGCTCCCATCGCGAATCAATGCTCCGCAGAGTGCGCAAAGTATTGGGGGCCGCCGGGAGTAAACGCCGCCAGGCAAAAGCGGCTACGCCTGCTGGGGAGGCCCTGGCTGCGCCTCGACGCCGCGCGCGTCTCCGTACGCTTTTCCAGTCGATGAGCTTGTCGTAGATGATGATGTCTTGTTGTTGACGCTGAAGATGCAGCTTTCGCGTATTATCATCGAATGGACTTGAACTCTTATCATCATCAGCGCGCACTACTACTCAGACGAGAGTGCGCACGTACCGGAGCTCCGAGCCCGTAAACTGCGAATATGCGACACAACGTCGTGTGCATGGCGCACAGGTCTCTAGGGTTGCGCATACAAGGAGCCTGAAGCAGTCGTAAGCATCATGATCAGGCGCGTGCACGTTTGGAGAAGGGTCTGACCCGCGCCGTAAAACTACATTCTGGTATGTACAGATAGAATACAATGACTTCACAACATTTCCCGCCCCTAATCGCTCAGGCGCATGCAATAGTCCGGGTTCCCCGCGGGATTCAGCGCCCAGTTCGGGAACGGCCTCGCCGTACCCGACGCGCCGCCCACCGCGAACGAGTACACGAACACCATGATCTGCGTGCCGCCGTCGAGCGCCGCCGACAACAAAAAGTTGTACTTGCGGAACCAGCGCGGGCGGTACTTGCGCAGGTACCACTGCGAGAGCACCGCGAGCGCGAGCGACGTCATCCACGACGAGTTGATGCCGACGGACAGGAAGCCGAGCTCGGCGACGACGACTGGGGTGAACACGTAGTTGAACCCGCGCGTCGGCCAGCGGCGGTGCGCGAGCCAGAACGGGAGCGGCGCGGCGAGCCCCGCGATGAGCATCCACGGGATGAAGCCGTAGCGCGCGCCGGGGGCGTACAACGCCTTGGAGAGCGCGCCCCAGGTGATCGCCGCGGAGTTGTAGGACTGGACTTGTTGGCCGGACCAGACGTTCGAGCCCTGCACGGCGAGCAGCAGGGGGCGGTTGCCCTGGATGACGGACTTCATGACGACGTAGTTGAGGATACCGCCGATGATGCCGCCGATGGTCTGCATCACGAACGTTGTGCGCGGCGGGAGCTTCGTGTACTGCCCGAGCTTCAGGTCGCGCAGCAGGTTGAGCGTGAGCTGGTACGTCTGGAAGCCGTCTGCGATGAGACCGCGGTCAGCTTCGTGCGTCAAATATGCAAATGGAAAGACATACAGAGGGTGAAGTACATGTTCGCAACCGGCTTGCCGGGGATCATCGCACCGCCGACCATCTGAATGAGGAATTGGAGGGACGGCTGGTACCCGACCGTCGCATACAGCGTGCCCAGGATCGGGACGAACGCAGCAGAGAAGATGAGCGCGACGATGAAGCCCCACCACGGCAGGCCCGAGTCCGCAGCGTAGCACAGGCCAAGCCCGAGCGCGAACGTGACCACGAACATGATGCCGAACCACCAGACAGGGACCTCCTTGTACACCTTCATCTTCTGGTAGTGCACGTCCTGGCACTCCTGCGTACGCACGTTGCGCACGATCTGCCACACGTCCTTGAAGTGCCAGAGGAAGAAGTGCGTGACGGCCGCGCCGATGTACGCCGTGCGCGAGAGCTGGTAAAGCGTCTGCGAGGCCGCGTAGTACGGCAGGCCCTGCTGCTCGAGCAGCGTGTTGTTGAGCGTGAAGTCCGGGTTCAGGATCGAGAGCTGCTGGTACTGCGTGCCGTTCTCGTAGAACAGCAGCTGCGAGAGGAAGGGGAAGTTCTGGGCGTGCCACACGTTGCGCGCGTAGCAGGCGCAGAACGCGATGCTAGAATAAGGCGGCGCTGCGTCAATGACAACCCCAGTTGAGATGGTCGCAGTGCACTTACATGCATACTACAACACCAGCATATAGCGAAAGCTGGGTCGAGAGCGGGGTGAAGAGCGATCCGATCGCGAGGCCGCCGGATCCAACGTAGTTCCAGTCAAAGCAGAGCGCGAACAGTCCAAGGCCTTCGTTACCGGCCGCGCCACCGAAGACCCGAGTGACCCACGGGCTCTTCTGCGCCGCGAGACAGATGATCGAGACGCCGGTAAGAGTCCTGCCCGCGCACCCGCGCATCAGTCGTACTGCTCAACGGACAGCGTGGCACACGTACGTCGCGATGTACTCCGGGAACCACTCCCAGATAAAGATGCCGATGAGCACGGTCCAGAAGAAGACACGGCGCTTGCGCTGGAGGAAGACGCCCTTGGCGCGATGCATCGCGTCGAAGAGCTGCACCTGCGGCATGAGGAACGGGTACACGGCCCATGTAGGGTAGACGAGGTAGTCACGCGCGAGCCCCGTCAGCCCATAGCCAATGAGCTGTGACGCAATCAGACTGTGCAATTCGCGAAGGCCGATTTGGCGCAGAGAGCGAACATAGGCGTACACAGATCAGAAAGGAGATCGGTGAGTTCGCGCGAGAAGACGTACGTAAAGATTCCGATCGCTGGATTGACGGTGACATGGTAGTAGAGGTCCTGCGCGGCGAAGACGGAAATGGCGATGGCCTGGTCAGAGGCCGTCGTCGACATGATACTGATGGCCACATGCTCTTTGATGTCTGACAGAGCGCGCGCATTCGTCCATTAGTGGGGCCGCGGCGTCACTTTGGTGACATGGTCTTTGGGAGGACTCACTGAAAGGACCGGGATTGATGAAACGCCAGAACCAAGTGTTGCGAGTGCGCAGCTTGGGGTGAACGTGGTTCGGTCCAGGGAGGACGGTCTCGAGACCGCGGCCGAGGATGAAGGCGAAGACCTGGAGGAAAAGGCCCGAGACTTGCACCGTTTGCGGACGGAAGTACTACAGATCGAAGCACAGAGTTCACGATGCAGATTTAGATGTGCATGCGGTACGTCAAGCACGTCAGATCACGCGAGTGCATGTAAAGACGCGCGTGTGAGACTTACGAAGAGCTCTCCAAGGACGGCGGCGAAACACGCGAGCCCGAGACCGAGGAACCAAGTCCGGAAGGTGTGGATTGGTAATGAGGGGTCGTCGTCGAGCGAAACTAGACGGAGAGCGTAGTCCTCGCCCGTCTCAATAGGACGCTCGTGGCCGGACTCGTCGAGATCAATGGCACGAACATCCTCGGACACCTAAGCACAGAATATGTCAGCTTGTATGAACGAAGATGAGAGGAGAAAGCGCGCGCACATCACCAACGTCAGCCTTGGCGAGTGCCGGGGTGTCGTGCAGGTCGACTTTCTCATTGATAGGCGATTCGGCCTTTTCGTCGATGATAGAGCCTTCCGAGGCTTTGCGCTCTATCGTAGCCATGGCGGCGGGAGCGCAGTCCGGCGTAGGGGAAGCCTACGGCGGTGAGGGCGACGAAGGAGAGAGTGGGGTCCTCTGGCGAATCGTTATCGTAGACGCGGACCTTATATTGGGACGGTGGCAGGGGCATACGGCATACGTCCGGCGCCTTGGTGGAGAACCGACGAAGCCGGGACTCAACACGAGATGTCCAGGCACGCGGGAGCGGTGGGATAAGATGCAATGAGCATGTGCTCTCGAAGAACCTTCGTCCTGGGAAGGTTTGGTCCACAGATAGCAATACCGTGACTATCATAATGCCACCAGGAACACGGCGCCCACAGTCCATCAGCCATCTTCAATGGTGACAGAACAGCCGTAATGTCGCCGAGGCGGCTAGACGAAATGGCTGACCGGGTTCTGTCCGCAGGTTTGAGTTTGGTCCGAGTCGGAGAGAGGGATGGAAGGTCATCGCCTCTGGCGTACTAAGCTCTAATTGTCGCTGCGGGGGTGAAGATATGGCGGAGTTATTGAGGGTTGCGTGTTCAGACCGACATAACCGTGTACGCGGCGGGCTGCGACGCTCCCAAGCGGATATAACCTAGAGCAAGGTACAGACAAATTCAATAGGTGAGCAAAGATTGGCGGGCAGAAGACAGACCTTCGAAAAGAAAGATACGTTTACCGGACGGGGGCAGATACAGATCTACACAGCAGAAGCAGACTCCCGGAGGTTTCTTGGAGATTTGGGGCCTGAGAGGTTTCGCGCGAGGATCCTGGTGAATGACAAGGCGGGGACCGCTAGGACTTTCCTACGACTGGCCAATCTTAGGAAATTCCTAGGAGCGACCTCCAGGATGATCTCAAGATAGGGCGCCCGGCAATGTGGCGTGGAGGACCGGTTCGGGACAGTTCCGAATGTTGTTCCGGACGGTTCCGAACGCGTACCCATGGGCGCCCATGCAGCCCGAGTGGAATAGCGACCAAATGACATGTATATTCGATTAAACTGCGGCTAAGTACTACGGCATAGGCTCTCGGACTCCTCCGACATGTCCACATCGTTCAACTTGAGGTTATATCAACATAGCACCTGTAGTAACATTGATATGACGACCTCATAACACATTAATGGTCTGACCACTCACCATATTACGACGTGATTAATACGGGATCAGGATGAACCAAGGTTACCGATACTGGAGGGAGGCACTGGAAGGATTGGACTGGAATCGGAAGGCGCCGTTGAGGCCCTGGGCGCCCTGCATCATTGAAGGTGGTTGTGTGCTTTGAGATGACTGGGGAGGTCGAAGAGCGGAATGTGCGGAATGTGCGGAACGCACAGGAGTTCCATCTTGCCCATAGGGGCGGCCAGAGCTGGCGGAACCGAGGGCGGAGGCCGGCGAGCCTGACATAGCGTCGGCGCCAGGTCGAGCGTCGAAGTCGAAGTTGCGAGGTTCAGAGTCGGCGTTCAAGAGCATTGAGAGTTGCCCCAAACGTTGTGTTTGACCGCCGTGATTTGGTGTCCCTGGATGCGGAGTCGACGCTTCCCGGCGGCGCACTGGCCGAGGATGCGGAACCGGGCGACACGAGACAGAAGTGGACCCCTGAGAAGCAGAAGGGAGGTGGTCGACGGATGACGCAGGATAAGGAACTCCCCGGGATGGCCCAGGTTGCATACCTGCCCATGCTGCCGTCGCCGCCGCCGCCGCCGCCGACGTCGATGGCGTGGACGACATCGACCGTGTCGACGGGGCGGACGACATCGACCGCGCTGACGAAATGTGGCTTCCCTGTTGGTATTCGGCCGGCGAGGGGTACTCGGTGGGCGGACGGTACTCGGCGGGCAGGTGGTACTCGTCGGGCGGGTAGTCCTCGCCGTCGTGACGTGAGGATCCAGAGGAAAACGGAGAAGACGACCTTGATACTCCTGCAAACGGCGCGGGAAGGCGACCCACATCCACTGGCGACAACGAGAGATCTGGCTGGTGAGAGATGGGTGAACCCACGAAGGAAGTGGTCGGCGGAGACCCGGCCGGGGGATTGATCGGGCCCGTCACAGCCATGAGGGAGAGATCGCTGTCGCCGGAGAGTCCAGAGAAGCTGGCAACGGTGCCGGGAAGCGCAGCAGGCAGAGCGTCGTGTGGGATGAAACTGAGGGGGTCATCTGGCCAAGCAAGCCGCTCCTGGACAAGACAGTCTGTAAGATAACTGCCGGAGCGAGTACACAAGTGATAGAGAGTCAGCTCGCCGATGATCAACGGTGGAGATGGCTGAACTTACGCTCTCCACTGAGGCTCGCGGATATCCTTTCCCCAGGCCTCATTCTTTGCAAGCAGCCAGGTCTCGAACTCGCTCCAAAAGGGGTGCTCCGGCCGGCCACCTATGCGTCTCCGCTTTGCTGGGGGTCCTGTAGACCGGCGCGGTGAAGGCGGAGGAGGAGGTGCCAACACGTCGCGGTTGTCCCGAACGAACTGACGCTGTCACAAACTAATGAGATACTGCGTGGGTTATGAATTCTTGACGTACCAAGATCACAACCCGAAGGGCCATCTCGGGGGTGAACGCGCCGGTCCAACCAAACTTCTTGATGCAGTGGCGGATGCACGGAGTGAGCGAAGACATCTTGACAGGGCTTGTCACCGAGCCGACCAACTATCGTCAATCAGCACATGGTGTTTCGTGAGAAGAAGCTCGCGGACGGGAGATAACTTGAACACGTACAACTTCACGATACTCCTTGCGCACGTAGTTTGCTTGAGCGTTCACTACCTTCGAAAGTGCCTTCTTCTTCGACGCCGACGTCCACGCCTCCGCGAACCGAGGATACGCAGTCGTGTTCTTGAGTTGTTCCTGTAGAGGCCGGTGAATAGTCTGTAGGCGAGCTACAAAGAGAACGCACCGTTGCTTCCTCGGAGAGATCGTAGTTCTCTCGAAGCCCGCCAAGGATTAGAATCTTGCATACTGCGGTGACGTCGTCCTTGAAAGAGGTGATATGTATCTACAAGCAACTAATAAGATGAGAAACTCACGGTCATCTCCTTATCAACCTCGAAGCGACTTCCAGATTTCTTGCATATTGACTTGACGTCTTCATGGAGCTCCGCAATTCTCCGAGCGACTTCCTCTTGCGCGGTCAACATCTGATAGGTTGATGCCTGTTGCACGACAAGCACGCGCCACCACATTGGATCCAGATCCAAGAGAAACTACCAAAATGATCGTTCGAACGACGAGTGCCAGTGAGCTGCAAGACGGCGAGGCAGAAGATGAGCTGAACTTACATCCTTGAAAGTGAGAAGCTCATCTTGGTACTTCGGGCTGAGATTCAGAGATTGGGCCACCCCGCCAATGAAGAGCAGAAGTCGATGGGATGGATCCATCCCGCCGACGTCCGCGCGTACACCAGCGCCTGAGCTCGCCATGGGCGTAGAAGCATTGCCGCGGACATGAGTCGGGTGAACGGATGTCGAGGATGAACGACTAGAGGCCGGGGGACGGTGAGCTGTCGTGGCAGAGGCAGACATATTAGAAGAGAGTATGCATGAGGGGCGAGGGTACGTGAAACTGGGTGGTGCACCTTTTATGCTCGAGCGGTGATTTCCTCAACTCGGTGCGGACATCCAGATAGGCACCTTGCAACCAAATGCAGTTAGAAAAGAGCCAAGCCGCATGCATCACAAGATTCGGGGGGACTCACGATTTTGAGTGTTGCAACAGACACGCTGTGATGACTGGCGGACCGGGAGACGTCGCAGAGATTTTCGGATCGCAGTCTTAGCGAGCACTCACCTTCGATTGGAACAGCATGGATAACAGTATTCTGCCTGGAAATCAGAAGATACGGAAAGTGTTGCGGAACTTGAGGCATGAAAGTGGGGGAGGTGTGAGTCGCCATGACCGTTGTTGGTGTTGGCAATGGAACGGAGTGCGTGGCCTCCACCAGGCGTGTCACGACGTGATGTCACACCCCAAAAATGTATATCTGTTTCAAACAAATGAGCGTCGACATAAACTGGCCGCAAATGTCAAAGAAAAGCGACAGATTGTAATTATAATCCAGTATCGATGTGAACGAATGTACATGAAACTGGGAGGAGCTTTCAGTGAAATATTCAGCAAGGGTAGCGTAACATTGGATCGGATGACACAGGCCGGGATAACCATTGAGGGAGCTGCGGGGCGGGACGGCCCTCCATCCGTGGTTGGGATTGTGATGTTGCAGCGGTCTGATGGTTTAGGGAGGGCACGAGGGAACCGTACGATGATAGCAAGGCCATCCTGCTCAACGAGCCGGAGTTGGAGGGACGGCATGAAGGTCCGGCGGAAGCTTCTGCCAGATTGCCACTACCCGTAGCGGTAGACGATGACTGGCCAGCGGCGAGGGGCGTGGTTGCATGGCGTGGGCTGACCCCCGGCTCAGGGCCAGACGGACGGAGACTAGCACGACGGCGGTTAGCGCTGCTACTGGCTCCCTGTGATTGACGTTGGCGTTGCGAGCGAACGTTGATCTCGCGCATGACCGCGTGGTGGATGATATCGTTCCGGTTCTGATTGGGAGGGAGAGGAGGATAGAGAGGCATGATGAGGGCAGAGCTCCGCATCTGAGCGGTGTTGAGAATGTAGTCATTTGCCGCAGCATGGCAGACCTCGGTGGCCCGTTGCGAGGTTTCCTCGTGTTCCTGACGGACCACCCTGGTCTCCGTGAGGGCGCAGGAATGATCGTGGCAGTTGTGCTGGACGTTGACAGCCGAGACGATGTCCTGAATTTCAGAATGTGCTTCAGCGATCATGGAAAACTTATTGGTCTCATGACGGTCTCGCTGAGCTTACCATGACGGGCACGAGCTCATGGTCTGAGAGCGTGGTGATACGCGGCATATCGTAGTATGGATGTGGAGTACCTTGTGCGCACTTCTGGATCACGACAAAGTCCGCTCGACCCGCTGCTTCATTTCTTGAGCCGACAACTTGGATTACTTCTCTGAGCCGACCGACCGCCAAAGAGCCACCGTCTTGATCCATGGCATCAGACGATGTGCTGGCTGCTCGATAGAGAATCCAGGGTCGAGCATCTACTTTGTACCAGCCGTCCTCATGGAGAAGGAGTTTCTCCGCCGTGCGGCATGAGTGGCTGCGCGGCTGGGAATGCGGGCTCGGATGACGAAGGCCATGGGTATGCGCCAGAGTATCACACCATGGCTTCGTGCCCCCGAATCCACGGCACATACCTAGTTTGTGTCAAATATTACTATGCATGCCATGAGGATATATGAATATAAGAAACAGACCTATACGGTGCGAGTCGTCCTCGACCGCCAAATTCAGGCGGAACAGGTTCAAGATGTCCGTGTTTATGCCGTCGAGTGCTAGAAGACTCGCCGGGCCGGTTCCGATGGATCGCCAGCAAGAGACATGGTCTATCTCAGGCTGCAAGCCCTTGCGAAGCCATGATGAGTGCGGGCGTCCTGCGGCAGGTAAGGGTTCGTCCTCGATCTCCGGATCCTCGCGGCCGTCGACCATGTGGGGCATAGTAAAGAAACCGCCGCTTAGCAGGTGCCGGATACGATTGTTCTGTGCCATGCCTGCCGCAATGTCGCGCGAGGGCGCGCGGTGGTTGCTGTGGATACTGTGGGATCGTATGATGGCGTTGTAGGACTCGAAACCTTCAGTAGCAAAGAGCATCGCTGGACCGAAACGTCGAATGTGTTCAGGGAGATGCAGGAGGATATGAAACTTCGGTTTGTTGAACCAGCGTGGGGTGAGCTCGCATGTGGAGTCAAGGAATCGGTCTATTACGTCTTGAAGACGAACCTACATGTGTGTCAGCTTGGCCGCTGTATCTCCGGAAATGCAAGGTGTGCACGTACAGTGTGAGATGGGAAGTCGACAATCTCGGGCTGCCAAACCAGTGGGATAAGGCGGGACAGGGCGATCCAGACCTTATGTAACTCCTCTGGAATGCCGGGGAGGTCGTGAAGTACAAACGGCGCCACCTGAGCAATTAGTCGGAAATCTCGACCGACGAGGGACTTCGCATAGTTCACGAGAGTGCCCCCGAGCAATGGCGCTACTCCCAGGCCTGTGACGTCGAAGGAAGAGAGACGTGCAATGAGCACATTTTTGGCCGGATCCTTGAGGCGACTGACAGTGTCACGCCACAGATACTTGACGAAACCGAGGAGGATGACATGTAGGATCTCCACTGGAGTATCCGAATGAGGGTCGAAGTCTCCAGGATATAAGTAAGTCTCAGATTGTTTGGCATCATATCAGCGAGTTCCTCTCACCGGGTATCCTCCAGACGGGACTAGTCGCAGACTCCTCAAGCCATGGTACTGTACGGAGGTATTCAGCAACATCTCTTGACTTCTCCTCTCGAGTTCTGCCCCGTTTTGTTGTGAACGAAAAGAGACGATCCACAAAGAAGGACTGATACATATCACGTAGACCTGTTCGCGTACGAGCTCGTTTGACAGAAGCTTGACCACCGATGTCTTGCGCAGTCGTGAATTGTGATTTGAGTTCTCGTAACGTATCCCCTCGGTTGCGTAGTAAACCAATCTAAAAGTGTGGCGGGCAGGGATAATTAGCGCATGCGCGAGGTTGTACTCAATTCAACTCACCGTCATGAACCGCTGTATGCGGTCAACCATTTCAGCCATGGTCTCATTTGCCTGCTCCCGTGTCCTTGGCTCACTACCGGCCTCTGAACCTGATCGTACCGATCGGGCATCTTCGTCATCCGCTGTGACATCTTCGTCGGTGTCGGGGGAACCCTTTGAGACCTTACAAACCCGACAGAAAAGGTTCCCCGCAAGGCCGATATGACAAGCTATCTCACTCTGCATAGGGTTATCCCCGAGCATTGCGAGAACGGACGGAACGACGAGCACAAGTTCTTTCTCCTCGCAATCCCAAGCCCATATTCCGGACTCCTGGCAGTCCCTGCCAGTTCAGGTTCATAAAGATGAGAACATGTTGAGCCTAAAAGACGGTACTGATGCACGCACCGCAGTTGCTCCACAATTCCATCGAGCATCTCCAGAGGCGGGGCAGCATTTGACGTTGTCAGGAAATGGATATTGTATTCCCGGTGGACGAACCGACGAGGCAACCCAGCGGCAGTGAACAGGAAAGAGTTATGTTTGTTCCATTTCTTCGAAAGGTTGCCAGAAGTGTCGTCGCAGTAGAGCCAAATGGGGAACGCTATTACACGGTGACCGCGTGCAAGCTTCCGCCATCGGTTACCTTCGCGGGGATCAGTATGTGTCCATGGATGAATGCCGCCGTGTTCGATCTCTTGCACCCCTGCAAGTTTCGTCAGTTGCAAACATATGAAGACCTCGAATAATATACCGATGATGCTCGTCGGATTGGGGAGGTTATAGAACCGAGCTGTTCGTACTAGCATCGGGAACGGCGAAAGAAGTTCTCGTGCATTCACATCGAAAGAGACGTGCTTGAGGACGATGTAGCCCGTACCATCTGCAGTACGAGCCATTCCCCAGGCTTTTGCGTATGTTTCCTCGTTGCGCCTGAACCAGCGATATGGCATGCAGACGCTGCCGTCGCGAAGCTGAACAGGCTCGTGCACGAAGAAATCGGTTCCCCGGACGCGTACCATCGGCGCTGCAAGGTTAGGATCCAGCTCGTCGCGCCAGCGTGTGCCCTGCCACGCCTCAGACAGATGTTTTCCAGCATCTTCGGGAAGAAACCGAAGATGCGGGCGTACTTGCGGGTTCGCCATTTCCTAGGAACAGAAGTTATATTAGCTGCGCAGCTGCATGTCAAAACCTAAGTTGCCGTAGACGTACCTGTGCGATGATAGCGGCGAGGTCGTTCACGTAGTATATGTGCCCCATTGCGCCCTTGTAGCGAATGCTAGAGATTCCGCATACTCGCTGCAAGGTCCTCGTAACCTCCTGCACGGCATGCTCCGATGGGACGTCCTTCACCCCGAGGGCCAACAGGGCCCATTGGATGACCTCATTCTGCCTGTTGGAGAACGCACAGCGGGGTACATGGCGCAAGATATCGAGTACACAGGTCTACGCCACTCCTGGTCAGCACACTACCTCTACAGGCTCACTTAAAAGTGGTTCGTACCTCCTTATCTGGCCATGGAAACCAGGGCGTCTCCCTATCCGTGATGTAGCGTCGTCTGCGCGTGCCCAGGCGTTGAGCGTCCTGAGGCTCTAAAAGCCTATGAGTGATCGTTCAAAAGCAAAGTACAAAGATTTAAAAACTCCTTACCAGTCTCGGTGTCCTCAGTAAGTCCGGAGACGTCATCATCAATAGGAGGCTCTGGATCATTGCCATCGTCTGAGGAATCATCGACTGCCCCGTCTGGATCCAAGAGATAGGTGCGTAACTGCTCCGATAAGCGAGCAACGGCGGCGTCTTCAAGTGAGACCCACTGGGCAGGCTCTCCTATGGCATCCCAGTTGATGATAGGCTCGGCGGGATCGTCGCGGTGGTCCCCACCAAACGACTCAAGGCGCTCATCTAGCACATCGAGCAGTGCGGCGCGAACCATCTCGTGAACGGGAGAAGGCGGCCTGCCCCAGCTGAACCGCTGCGCTTCGCCACGGCTTGCCAAACCCGCAAGCCCACGCCCGCCCAAACCCGCAAGCCCATGCCCGCCCAAACCCGCAAGCCCATGCCCGCTTTCAGTCGCCTGGCAAAAACTCGGAGCCGGGTTGCCCTGCCTTTCCCTAGCTGCCCTTCGTGACGCCTTCGTCTGGTGCTTACGTGACCTCTCATGGCGGCCGATGTGCTTGCGTTGGAATAGACCGACGCTGTCCCGGCAAACCAGGCATCTATACAGCCCGCGATATTCGCCAGTCAACGCCTCCCAATCTAAATATTCTCCTGTCAGCTTAAAAACAAATGAAATCCAACTTGAAGCACGTACGATCGGGATGCTCAGATCGGAAGTCTCTTGAACGATCTATAAGCTGCGCGGTGCCCCGCGCTGTGCTTTGATCAGTCATCTTCACATCTGCACGACGATTAGAAACACTTACACAATGTCTCCTCTCGTGCACCGCCAGGAATCGCCGTACGCACGTGCAATGTGCTACCGTTGACAACACCAACGTTCGCGAGGGGCACTAACATGTCCAATGGTCCGAGAGAATAAGACGGAAATATGATATATTGGCGGACGCGCTGAACGTCTGCGATAAGGCGCCTCTTTCGAAGCGTGCACAAAACACTCTGAGGGGTATCGGTCGGGGAAAGGCCTACGCGCGCGGACGTTCGAATGTGCATTAAGTTGTTAGAAAATGGAAGACTTACTCAAAACGACGGATTTTGAGCTGGTCCCAACAATGAAGACGGACTTCAAGGGACTCGTCGGTGCGTGAGCGGGATGTTGAGGCCCAAGAGAGACTGGGAGGTGTGCATGTCGTGTATGCTCCTCCCCGTGTTGTCCGATCTCTGGTAAAGCTGGTGTGAGCGAACTCCAATATGCGAAAGAAACCTGGACGGGAAGTTTGATGTTTAACCCAAGCATACGTACCGGTGAATATGGCGTGCACAAATGTGCTCAAGTATATCACACTATGCCATGCCGGAATAAACCAGAGTTCGCGAGATGCTTGAGAAACCAGCCAGTATAACCAGTGTCCAGAAACGAGATAAAGCAAGATAAACGCAAAGCAGACGGCAAGGAGCTGTAGAAGCTGAGTGAAAGCCACATATTGGAGTTGTCTTGACTTCCGGCGCTTTAGGGACAAGCGGGCACGCCACAGATTTCGTTGTTTGATTAATATGAGGCGGCGCGGGAGAGATGGATGACGACAAGACCCCCGAGGTCTGCGGCTGACCTCGCAGCACGTCATGCCTGCAGAGCGGGAAAGAGGAGGAGGGAACCAGGCAGAAACAGCGTCGCGTCCAAGTCCGCATCGCTGAGCGCCTATATTTCCTAAAGCAGGTTACACGGGCGCTCGGAGACGTTTCTGCATGCACCTTGCGCGTGTCTTCAAATGGGCTTTGCAAAGCGATATCGCTGCGCGATTGCTTATGTATATGTATCTCGAGTCTCGGATGAACTGGCTCTATGTTGCTTATATATGCCTCGTGCGTTATAGAGCACAGAAGCTGGTTGTACATATGTAGCTTGAAAGGCGCTCGTTGGTGCTGAATGCTCGCACAGCTCTCGTAAACCTCACACGAGATCATTGTAGCAGTCTACTGGATAAATAGAAAGAGAATGCAGGGGAGATCACATTGACAAATAAACTGTGGCGGTAGCGAGTGCCGTGAACGTCTCTAGAGGGCTGCATACAGAATCTTAAGACTTATATATACATCGAACACCATGGAGGTCGAGGCTCTAGTGACCGGGATAGAATGGGTAGTACACTGGAACAGGTCAGCAGCAGAACATATACAACAGTAAGACGTGCTCGAAGGGAATGGGGTGGGGATAGGAATAGCATGGACAAAGCAATAGACGACCTCGGGAGACGACAACAACCTAGTATCCAACACCGCCCACCCTCCTCATATATTCAACGTACAGGGAAATTTCCTCCGGCATGGGCGGAGGGGTGAAGGGCAGGGAACCCGAGAGGCGACACCTGGCGTAGTTGGAATGGAGGTGCACAATGTACTCTGTCAACCTCTGGCACCTGTGCTGGTGCTCAAAGAATTGCCACCGGTATGATTCACAGAGTGAGATCCAGAATGCGTTCTCCTTCGGGATGCGTAGCTTGCCGGCCGCTTCGAGGGCGCTGAGGAACCGCTCTGCCTCCGTCTTGCTTTGCTCAAGACGTAAGGCGAACGCTGGAACGCCCACAATCGATACATGTACGGCACCAAAATGTTGATCACTTACCGATCCTATCTTCCACCAGCTTGATCGCATCCTTCTGCGCAATGACGCGTCCATCGGGGCTGACGGGATTGAACGGAATAGTCCTGAACATATGTCGATCGGCGGTCATGATAAGCCGCAGGTACCGTTAGACTGTATCGCCGAAGACTTACCAAGGGACAAAGACAACAGTACCGGGAGCAGCCATTACGAAAGGTACGGAAAGTGGTATATTCGCCGGGGAGGAAGTAAAGGGGGCGAACGGTACAAGCGGGGGGTACGCAGGGAGTGATAGGATTGGATCCGTGCGGCCCCTGGCAGATTGGTGAGACGAGGCGCTCATTCCTGATTTGGAACGCATGACGTCAGCATCTTCTGCGTGCCGCGCGCCGAGGTGGGGTTGGCCCCAGGAAAATCCTGAGAGTTGCTGGTCCCAAGAAACTCCTATGGGGATCGCACGACACTCCTGGTTCTCATGAGCAAGATTTTCACATTCGCCCCCATCCTAGGCATCCCCTATCGTCCTTTTCTGCCGTGTAGACTATTTGATGGGACATGTGAGCGAATTGGATACGTGCTTTTGGAGAGCTTCGGCGAGCTTATCTTCGGAGCTTGGCACCAGAAGGTCTCAAACTTACCCTCGAAGGACCATCAGCGGATAATGGTTGACGGGCGAAGTCGATGACGCCCATACAGAGCACGTAGGAAGAGAGCCGGCAGCTGGAGATGCCGCTGACGACTTGTGTCACTGCTGTCGCGTAATTCAAGACATGACCGGTACCGCTGACCATCCACGCGGAGAGCGTTATTCAGTGGGCGCAGCAAAACACCGCTCTCCGAGGCTAGACAAATGTGTTCGCTCTAGGGCCAGGGCGGGCGCACCGTAAGACCTAGTATTCACATAGCGCTGCCAACGAGCACGACATCCAACACCCCCCGGAGAAACCTCACACCCCAGGCCTCAGCCTCCATCGCCGGGCTACCGCGCAGTGTCTGTCATAGCGACACGCTCCGCTGTGAGAGAGATATTTTTGCTCGCGGGTCGTTCGGCGTGATGCGAGGTTGGGCGGGTGCGATGTTCAGGCACGGTGGGGATAGAGCGCAACCCGTGCGCAATGCATAGATCCGTGTTGAAGACAAACGGTATCTGAATCTGTCATACCGGGCGCTGGCTGTTCGATGGGATAGCCCGGCTCTGAAAATTTGAGGTTCTAGCGTACCTAGCGCTACCTGGCGCCACGGTTGGCAAGCCATCTCTGCGCGCCCATATCCCATGAGCTCTGTGAGCACACCAGAAACCGCATTCCTGCAACTCACCATTAGTCGTTGTATCGATGCCGCCGTAGCATCATATGACAGCACGGTCTCGCTGGGAAATCGTTGTCGGCGACATTCCGGGAGTCAACCGGCCTGGCTGTGTTCACAGAGTTCCAGCCTTTCGTAGCGCGGAACATCGGCCGCATTCCGGGCTCCTGAAGCCGCAAGCTGAGGGGATGAACTTCTAGAGAGAGTCATGACGGTTCGAGCCAAGTTGGCTGCGGCCAGTCGCGGCCTCCGCCGACGGCAAGAGAGGCGGAGGGTTCGGGCCGGAGAGCGGATAGCAGGCCCGGGTTTAGCGCTTGTTTAATGCCTAGATCGGGAAGGTGTACTGAACGCCTCAGCCTTGCTTCGGCAGAGAAACGGCCCACCGATATGCGACGGGAAGAAACTACATAAAATCCACTACGAGCGCAAATACATCGCATGCTTATATCGTACGTCCCGCGCTAGATGCGGACAAACGTCATCTGAAGAACAGCCTGAACATGCACATATACAAGGTCTACGCGTCGTCAGAGGCCAGCGTGTCTAGATCACCCTCCACCCGAGCGACGAGCATTGGCGGTGTGACGGGGGAAGGCGTGCGCCGGCTAAATGTCGCTGTGGGAAGAATAAAACGATAAAAAAGAGTATACAGGGATGTCCAAGCAGGATGCGACGTACACGAAAGACCGGCGAGCGGTGGGAGAACTCTCGTGTAGTCGTTTTGCCCTACATCTGTTCCTTGATCGTCTAGAGTGGAAATAGCAGGACTGCGGTAGCCGAGCATCAACATGAAAGGAGAAGGACTCGAGGACGCCCCGGCGGGAGACGGTGGGGGACGGAGCATGTGCGGCCTTGGCGACGTCGCCCGCAGCTGCTCAATCCCTTCAATTGCTTTCTGCGTAGAGTTTCCCATGAATCAGTACACACTATATCCAGAATAGCATATGTCCACATTCATGACTTACCGAGCACAGATCCATTGCCTGGGATACGAGGCTCCGGATTCGCGCAAGCTCATCGTCGTGCGTATCTTCGACCGCATCTTGAGAAGGCTGATCAACTGCGCATGGAGTACTCTCCGTAGCATAGAAATTATTGGCGTCGTGGGAAACTGTAGACATAGTTGTGGCGTCAGAGGAGATGGGTGACTGTCGGCTGGAGAGAATTAGCTTGAATAGCTTGACGTAGTGGAGGTAGCGAGTACGAGTGGACTTCGGTCGATCGTTTATATACCTGGCCCGAGATTGTATGACACCTGTGCGACACGTTCAGTAATAAGACCAATAAAACAGCAGGATGAGAGATAATCAGTCTCTGGCTTGGACAACGCATTCACGGGCATGCATTATATGCATTATCGGGGGACCCTTATTGACGCTACGACTGCGGGAGCAATATCTGATCCTGGAGGGTGATCTCAATTCTAGATTCAACTGCATTAATAAAGTAAATAATATGCAGTTCTCAAGATTGAGCGCAGAGCGCCGCGGCGGAGCTGCCAGAAACCAAGTTGGATCCGAAGGGACTCACATGGTGGCAAGCGCAATACACGGGAGACGCCCACAATGCGCCGGAGGAGCCAGAATGTGAGCGTCTACCAACCTGTCTCTCGACCATCTCCTCGAACCGGAGCACTCTAATAATCTAGCGCTTCTTGCCGTTTATCTGTGCAGGCTCGCTGTAAGCCCTTTATCCTGGAATTTCTTGGATAACGGACGTCCTATGATGGCCGAACGCATCAATATCGTATCGCGCCGAGGCAACATCAATACCGCTTCCGTGCTATAGGTCTAGATATCCGAATCTGAACCGCTACGTCCTTTAGCGAATCATTCTGTACTGTGACACATTTACTCAGTGCCCTGCACACTATGGAGGCACAATCCCAATCCCGGCCGCGGTGCATTCTGCATGCGTATGTGGCAATCGCAGTGCGCGTCCATTTGCCGCCGCTGACTCCGGTAAGTGAATTAATCTTCGTCACCGTGTTAGACCTCTCCTCCCCGAGTGAATACATGAATAATCAAGGCGATGTGATATAGAACTACATGAATACTCAGCGCAACACTTATGCGTGACGCTGACTCACACTGTATCGGCGTCGAGGGCGGCGGACCGTCAAGAGCGCCACCCATCTGCATGCCGCGATGACGCCTCAGCATAGCCCGTATAAGTCCTCCACGACGCCAAGCACCTCTCATGAACAGTGGAAAAATCGGACAATCCACTATGACCCAAACTTCCTGCTTTCCGTCAGGCTCGGAGATGGGAAGCAGATAATGGTCTTTGGCATCGTGAACAACTGGGAGTATAAAAAAGGTACATTGATCCCTCACGAAGTACGGTCTCGGAATATACGTCGCATCTCCAATACAACGCATAAAGCGCAGTGGTTTCGTGAGCACAACCACGAGGGCGACACAGTGCGAATTATACGGAGTGACGGTAGGGGAGTATTTAGTCGGGTTCGGAGAGGATGCTAGGGATTTCATTGGCGGATGCCACCAACGCCGCTGCCCGGCGAGGATCCCAATTTGGTATGCGCTTTTTCGAAGGCGTCCTTGCTTTAGCGTTACGAGAATGTGTAAACAGCATACGAGACGAGACGTCACTAATGCAATTCAAAGGTTCGAACCGCGGCGTCCAGCCTCAGGAAAGCACGTACCGGGCTGAGAACCTTCGGGAGATAGCTTAGCACCGTCCTCCACGCCGTCGGGACGAGGCACGGCCTGTGAATGACGCCGCAAGGGTCAGCGTGCGTATAGACTGGTGGCGTAATGACGTTGGGAGGCTTACTTCTGCGGCCGTCTGCGGCGTAGCCGCTGTGGGTTTCCCTTCAAGGGCACCGAGTAAGTCGGCCTCGCCCTCTACGGCTCTGAATCGCGTGAACAGTGAGCACGGTACAGCACCCCATCACAGAAATCGTATACGTACAGTAGATCAGATACTGCATCGGATTGCTTCGGTTCTACGGCTTCGCGCGAATCGAGGGTTTGACTGTGCGGAAGGGAAGGTCGTCATCCTGGAGTCGATAGAGGATGAATATAAATGGGGCGTACGTTGCGCCTGCATCGGCGTCGGCTTGTGTGGCCTGAGACTGCATCTTGTCAGCGGTCGGGATGGCTAGGGCGTATAAGTAGTATGATAGGATGAAACGGCTGAGTGTGATGGCTCTGGGAGTATGAGTCGAGCCGCTTATATAGCGGTCGATGGGTCGGACCTCGTGCTTGCCGTCTGCAAACAGGGCATGTCCCGTGATGGGTGGATGTTTGTGTATGGGCGTCGACCTGCTACAATCAGTGTAGAAGCGGGTGCATGATCGGGATTGTTCATGCGTAGCGATGCACCGCCCATACAGAATAGGCACCTCGTACTGCAGATCTAGTAACCAGGCGCGGCGCGCTAGTCTAGGGAGCACAGTATAAGTAGATAATATATGAAGCAGAGCTTGGTAAGACGGCTTACCGCCCCGTCACGTCCAACAGCAAGCCAATTGGCGCGGGAGTTTAATAGGGTGAGCATGAGCACCTGATGTTAGATCAAAATGGTCGCCACAACTGTAGCATTATCATATGATTGAGGCGAATTATGACGACGCAAAACTCTTGCAAAACCCGAACGGAAAGATGATAGAAAGGGATCATATTCCGATTCGCGGTGGGGTCGTACTGGGAAGTACCATTCCTTGCTACATAAACATGCATCGGGGTTGTCGCCTACCGAATACACAGGGTACGTCGCAATCTTGAAGGGTGTCGTAGTTTGCAAGACCCAAGAGCAGGGGTATAATGTCTTGCCCGGGATTGGATATGTTTGAACTCACCGGGAGCAACCGAGTCCGGTCAGTACCATTTGTCGAAGCCTTCGTCGCCGAACAAAATGAGATTGGGCCTGTTTGCTGAATAATAGCCCGAGTCGTAGGACTCCTCGTCCGGCTCTGTCGAAGCCACACAGGACACCAATCAGATACCAAAGACAGAGCGGGAACACATCGTGTGGCGCGGCTTACCTGGGGAGTGACGCCACGAACCTGAGACGTCCATGGGGAAATCATTTTCCTCAGGGCCGTCCACTGCGTCGTCTGAGCGCGAGGGCGACTCAGACAGCCATGTAGATGGCATATCGACTTCATGATCATGCGTCATGGGCGAGAATGGAGACTGCGGCGGCGAGACGGCCAGTTGCAACATCATGCCAGCCGGCGCGAGAGCCCCCTCAGGCTGCTCTTCGCATAAGGCGGCGAGGCGGGCGTTTACTGCAAGCCATGTTTCCTGTACAACATGCATAATCAGTTCCGATGCGCGAGCACTGGCCAGACGGGCGGTCAGGGCTTACCAGTGTTTGATTGACGAGGATGAGGGACGCTTTCATCTTCTCGGCGGCCTCGAGCATACGTTGGCATTCATCAACGTCGGAGCCGCCCTGCATCGCTGCCATACTATGTGGCGGGTGCTGCTCGACGCCTTGATCATCGGAGAAGGCAACGACGACGTCGAGACAGATCTGTGCCGTATCGGACATAACGTTTACACTGGACGAAGGGATGCGTTAGATGGGTTAGGGGAGGGAGATGTGCGAGGAGTCGGCGTGAAAGATGGGAGATCTGCCGTGAGCTCTGTAGAGCGCTGTTTATACGCAGGAATGGTGGCGATGCCCATGGGAGTCATTTGCAAAAGGCCCGAGTGGGTGCCAGAACAAGAGCAGCGCCTCGCGCGCGCTGATGGGCGATAACAGACACGAGGACAGACCTGTGTAAGCCTTCCACAGCAGGCGTGAAGCACGGCGACCCAGGCTATCTCGATAGGCAAGTGAGTAACAGTGCGAGGCAATTCGCACACGCATGCACTATCCGTATACCACGTTCTGAGAGTCTGCGGAGGACTCCCAGATAGGCAGCACATGGCGCGGGCTCTGTATGATGTGTCAAGCAGGCGTCGCGAAGAAGCGCTCGAGACTACTAGGAGACGTACCGCGTGACCCGTCGCAGTACACCCTCTCAGTAAACTTCACGTACGGGTGCTGTTGTGTGAATGAAAAGAACAGTTGATGGATTCGAGAAGAAGGCCATCTGGTTAGGAGCTCTGAGGTGACGTGGTATTGGCCGTTGGCGAGCCCAACTCGGCGGCAATTCGCCAGTCGTGCTCTTCGCTCTGCTGAGAATCTGTCAATAAAAAATGCCATGACTCGATAATAGACCTACTGACCAAGCTTTAAATTCCTGAAACAGATTCGCACTATGAAGACACGTAGATCTGCTAGATTTGGGGTTGATCGTAACAACAGCAGCGGGGCGACGGCGCTGCGTCGTGGGCCTCACCGAGGCGCAGATGATTCGGGTTCTGGGGGTGACCAGTAACCTCACAGATCGCTCGATGCAGCTACTGACTTCCACATCAAGATATTCTGGACACGTCTGTTATAAGTACGCGCTATAGCGCTGCGAGTCCGATCTGGTGGCGAGGGGGAGAAGGAAAGCACTGCGTCTCGGCGTTTCCCGCAGGTCGCGAACGGACCGACGCGCGAGCGCTTGTATTCTCCGACTCGCCTTGGCCCTTGACCGCGACCTCGGAGCTCGCGAACCACATGTACGTCGTCAAACCCAATTAAACACCAGTCAAATATCTCACGGATGAGTTTGCTTCTCATACAGCTCACAAAATGTTGGCCTTTCCTCTCAGTCTGAGGCCCCATCGGCCGAAACCCATCACGCACAACACCCATGGGCACCGGCACAAGCTCAGCGAAGGTAACTGCATTTTATGAAGGCCTATGGGCAAAGAATGCCGTACTCTGCCTCTATGACGAGTCCGCTTTGCGTGCACAAAACTCGAGGCGTGCGCAAGCCGTCCTACTTCCGACCGGTGGGCCGTTTCTTAGAAAACCCTTCAAATCCCTGGTCGTTGGCAGCGTCCTCGCCGCTGTCGGGCTGCGCTTGACCCTGGCTCCAAACCGTATAGTTCGCGGACGCGGAGCGAGCACTCGTGTTGGCATCAGCGGCACGTGGGTGCGTCACTATTTCTTAATATGACGAGGATCGTAAGGACAACGTTTTTGAAGAGCGAAGTGGCGTATCAGCGCTCGTGAACATCCAGGAAGGCGCGCGCGGAGAAGACGCACCTGTAAGAGCTGGGCAATCATCGACGGTCGCTTGGAGGCTCGGCGTAGTCTCCTAATCAAATGCGGTCATCGTCAGCGCACCCGTGCACAGTGTAGTGGCGTCCGAGTCGAACCGCTTACCCTATGCTCTGACCGTGTTTTACACTCAGCAGCCAGCCCGCCTTCTTCGGCGAGGCTCATCGGGTCTCGAGCTACCGTGTTTGGTCGCCCAGCTTCTAGTCCGCCCTCTTCGGCGAGGCTTATTGGGTCCCGAGTTACCGTGGCCGTCGCCCGAACATATCTAGACGATGCGAACACGAGACGGCGTCAGGGTCTTGCGGTCATATCGAAGAGATATCATTTCAGACACGTACGTCGCAATGACGGTCAATATGTTTGACATCGGGTGAGCGGTTGTCCAAACGGCGATATATAGAGATTTGGCTTCGGACGTAGTCAGTAGGAGTGCGAGGGTATTGGGTGATCGGTACGCTAGTACGGGCTCCAGCACATGGTTATATAGCACCATGTAGAACGCAGTGGTCACTGTCAATATCCGCAGAGTCATTTGCGACAGGACAGAAAACAGATATCTTTCTCAATAGACTCCTAAAATTTAAGAATGCAGCACAGACGTGAATGAGTGCAAGCGGCAACATATCGCGAAAATGCGCACGTTCTATTATGCGAATCTGGTTACCCGGAGCGCCGACCGGGGGTATCGCGCTGGCTGTATATGAACGATCAGAGACTTATCGTGAAGTGATACCTGTAGCGTTCTGTAGGCCCCGGCGCTGTTACCGGCGGCACCGGTGCTATCGTCACTTAAGTTCCTACTAGAGGTTCCGGAATCGGATATGCAGAGTGTGCGATGAGAAGATTAATATTTGGAATAATGAAGGGGGAGGAGATACACATATTTGGTCGCTATGCCGCGCAGCGGAAGGCTTCAAATTGAGGATCAAGCGGCGAGGATGCTCGCGGTTCAGGGGTTGGCAAGTGTCCGCTGTTTCTCTCGGCTCTACTAGTGGTCCCCAGGGTACACGAGAGAAGGTATGTCGTCATAGTCGTCGCTGGGTTCGTCGTACCCATCGCCGAGTACGTAGTACACGCCGCCTGATGCCAACTGGTGACCCACACGTTCGGGGATGACGAGGCCGGTAAGATGCGATATGAGGGGCACTATTTTGCCAGGTATGCCTCCGAACGAGAGTTTGGGGCGACCATCCTCGGAGTTGCGGACAGAGATATGTATCTCGGGAAGCGACAAGGCGAGTTGGTCAATTGCGGAGACATAGCATGAGGTGTTAGGACCTAAGCCCAGAGGATACGTGTTGTTCCGAAGGAGAGGCATGCGTATGTTCGCCTCAAGCTGGTCGTTCAGCTCAGAGGCGCAGATCCGGAATACGCGCGAGATGTTGTCGACGTGCCCTCTGGTCAAGTTCTTGAATAGCGCATACGTAGTCGTCCTTGTGGTACTCTTGTATGAAACAACGGTAATCGTCACCGCTGGCGGCAAGGGATGTGTGCGCAGGTAGCTCGAAGAAGCGACAGATCGCAGAACGGCCGAGTCTGGGCCGTGTGGTGGAGACACGGTGAAGTCGACCCAATGGATCACGACTCCTTCGTCAGGGCTGACGGCAATCGATACAAAAACGGCTCAGTTATCTGTTACGCAATGAGTAAAATAGATCTGAAAGACGTACCGCACACTCACTGCGTCCTCGGACTCAGTCGGGTCGTACATCGTGGCGGCGGACATGATACTAAACGAGGCAGCGCATCAGTAATTCGAGGCCAGGACGAGCGAGCTGACTCGAACACCTACTATCAAGATTAGTCCAGAGGTCCAAATTCCTTGGCGAAACGGAGAGTGCCTCGGAGAACGAGGGTGCGAATCCTGTGGCGGGATACTGCAACCAGGAATGCGGGGGTTCGGAGCAATAACTTAGAGTGCTACCGAAGAAGGCATTATATAGTGGGGTGCCGTCGAAAGCCCATAGTAGTCATCGTGGTCTCTGGCGGCAGAAACGAGGCCTATTGTGCCGAGTGCGTGGTGACAAGGACCTGCCAAAACCGTGAGTTATGAGCACCTTGACATGCAGCAGGCATCGTGTACACCTTCCGCATCAAGGCGACCACGCTGATAAATGGAAAATGAGGATCTGGGTGGTCACAGTAAGAATATCGCTGGAAGGAAATATACCGAGATCTCGTGAATCTCTGAATGCGCCGCCGAGCACAAAGGCGAACGTTTGTCCCTAAGCTACAACATTAGCAATCAAAGGTATGCGGTAATCGGCATATCCGGCAAGGGACATGACTGTACATACTCGTTTTAGTGACACCGTCGCTCGCTGTGCTTCCAGTATCGCAGTGCAGTATCCGATTGAGTTGTCAAAACGAGCAGCGAAAAGCTCGGATCGACGATGACAAAGTCAGTTCAAGATGAGTCGAAGTCATCGCGTGCGTTATCTGCGTGTTGAGAGATAGAATGCTCCAACGACCACGCCGCACAGATATACAAGGCAATGCTTGCGGGCCATGGAGTTCTAGGGTCTTGAAAGCTCGAAGTGGAGGTGGTGGTAGCAGGTGAAGAGATGTGTCAGTACTGTGGCGCTGCCACGGGTTCACCGGCGCTATAGTCCGAGTCGACCACAGCATCGCGGGCTCTCGTCGGCGGTCGCCAGGTACAGGCTGCCGGTATAGGCATGCACTTCAGAATCGAGTTCATATTATGCTACCTATCCAGCATATAGTATGGACGTAGTCGCGAGAATATCAGACCCACTTAAAGGGCCCGGCAAACGCGGAATGGGAGGTATCAAGTAGGTGATTGGCCTACAGCCTTGCATCGGTGGAGTGCGCGACGAAACCGTCACAATCAGGGTAGCAATAAGGTTGGGTGTACACCAGACGGATCTCCCAAGGACTCCTGCGTCATGATCAGTGGCGCAGCAGGGTCTTCACCACTGCTAGGCTCGAACGCCTGAGTGCCGCCACCGCTTTCGAGGGTAGATTTGACACCGGCGGTAAGTACAGAGAGCCAGTCGCATACCGTGTCGAACACATAATCCAAGGCGTAATCAATGCCGGTATAGCCAATAAGCTTTTTCGCCTCGCTTGGTGAAATGCCGGGCGGTGGCGGAAGGCCGTGACCGAGGCTCGGGGAACGACGAATAATGGAGTCTTGGCGATGGCCTGCACCGGCCCTTCCAGCTTGTTTGTGTGCAAGAAGCTTCCTTTTTGCTATCCCAATCGCGTGCTCCGGGTCCGCGAGCCCTCGCCTCCCGGTAGCCCGGTCGTAGATGAGGATTTCTATCGAGTGGATATCAACGAACGCAACACAAACATAGGATTCGAGGAGACAGACCGCTTATTACTTCGGCGTAGTATCGCTCCTCCTGGTCTGAGAGCGAGACAGTGCCTTTGGAACGGAGTTCATCATTGGCACGGCGGACTAGATTGATGACAACCGAGTCGGGGATGTCCGCGCAATCCTCAGTTGCATTCTCTTTCAGGCTGATTTTGTCAAGGTGATCAGTCCCGGCGGTCGGTGAATGCAGAGATAGGAATGTCATAATGTCGTAGTAAGACGAGGGCGAGGCTGAGTGCAGAAGGCGGACGTACACCGCGCTCGCCACCTCGATGGTCTTCTCAGTTTCCGTTTGGATACATTGAATGGGTATCGCTCTGCATCAAGATCGTCAGCATTACAATTCTGGGGCGCGTGAGCAGCGTCGAGCGCTACGTACATCTCGCGCCCTATGTGCTTCTCGGACTTGGGCTGCTGCATGGGGCGAGTTGTGCGTTTCGGCAGAAAGGGCGGATGGCGAAGGCGGCGATGTAGTACGGGCGGCGACAGATAGGGAGAGGGAACGCGGAGTACAACTCATATAGTGGATAGCCCGCTTCATGTGACGATATCCAGGCATTCAAAATATCGCCATCGACGCACCCCCAAATCAGTGAAAGGGAACGGACAAAAGGGTGGCGGCTAGGACGGCACAATCAGTTACGTGCCTCAAAAGACTTGCCTTATAGTAGAGATATCAGCTAGGGGCGTTGTAGACGTCTCCTGTATAAATAGTGTTATGGCACAACGTGTTTGACTGCTTCGAAAAGATTGCATAAGCGCGTGTCTATTTAAGCAGTTTAAACACACCTTCATCTCTGCGCAACGATATAGAAGCGTACTGATCAGAATTCCGGAAAGGAGAGGCATGCCGTGGGGGCCGGGTCCTATTCCATGCGCCGGCCACCGAAGCGGCGCTTTCTAGATAGACCCCAGACGAAGATCCAGAATATCGCAATAGGAAAGACACCAGTAGTGTAACCATATATCTACATCATAAAGACTCCAACACAGTAGAAAACGAGCCAGCGGCGCAGCAAGATAGTCTAGAAAGAAGGTGGTAGCCCTCGAGCCGAGCCACGCGCCGCACCCGCGCGACTCAACAAGTTCGCCTTGAATGGGGAGGGCCCTCTCTATTCCATATATCCAAGCAGCTCCAAGCAGTGGTTTCCCAGACGTCGCTTCATAGATTGGCCGCAGTGCGAGGGAGCTAGATTTGAACAACACGCAGTCGTCGACGGTTACTAAAGGCAAAAGTGACTCGTATAAACGCTCGGGACGCGATGGCTGGTTGGCGCCACAACGCCGGCGCCTATTGAACCTCAGAACTCATCCTCGACCCCGACTTCCAGAAATCGTTATCTCTCTCTCTCTCCAGTAACAGAATCCAGTTAACGTCTACATCCTGTAGGCTTAATGTACAAAGCTGATAACGGATATATATAGGGGCGTTATATAGACCAGCATACAACACGGGCTAATAGCGCACTCAGGACGACTTAGTGACGACGAGAAAGGTGTTGCAGCGCTATCACTGACTAGTACTGAGGGCCCGCTGGTTCGTCCGCGTTACCAGTACCGTAGCCCTAACACCGTCGGTGATGTCCCTGACCTACTTAACCGTCTTTTTCTTGCGCGAAAAGAAGCGATGTTTGGAATCCTTCGGCGTGCCGCCACTGCCCTGGGGGACGGCAACCCTCCCGGTGCCAGGTGCGTCCGAGTCGCCTTCTCCAGCCTTGGGGCTTTGAACAGATAGGCAAGAAAATCAGAAAGACGCGTATGCGCTAAACATCACGGAACTTACATTGCGTGCGAGGACTCCGACTGTACCTCAACTGTGGCGTGTTCAGCCACAGGACTGTCAGAGGGAGACGGCGGGGAAGGAGAGGTCGCCAATTCAATCTGTGGGTCCGAGGTCTGCGCCATGTATGTTGGAAAGTAAGCGAAGGTGCGGCGATTTGGGGTGCTTGTGGATGTGGAGAGCAAGAGCTGAGCGCTGACGGGCGCGTGCCGGAACAGAGCGTTTTATACTACAGTGAGCGCCGAGGTGGCCGCGGCCGCCCTCGCCACGAGCCGCGCAAGCACTATCCGTGGATATCCCGTATGCGGCAGCGTGGTGATGCTCACAACACCGTGCGGAGGTTTACAAGACTAGAAGGATATCCTGATCAGTGAAAGCGGAGATCCAGAAGGCGCACCTTCCTAGTACGACGCCGATAATGTTCTTGAGACACATGTATCAAAACGCGGCGGTGTGCGAAGATTCCTAAACACAAATTACACAAGGCCTCGGAAGCAGACGTCGTTCCGCGCCCTGCTTAGGAAGGACGCTGGACGCTGGTGAGATCCCCGCAGTCGATGACACGAGGCGAACAGGCGGAGTCGGCGCGATGCAGGTTTTGTTTGATCCGAGAGACTAATGTGCCCGAATTGTGATGGAACGTTGTACTGTCTCGAAGAGAATTCCACTCGAGACGTGCGTTAAATCCGTTTCCCGCTCGCCCGCATAACGCAGACCCGCTGGTTCAAAAAAAAATCGCCAATTTGAGTATTGATTACCTGCTCAGAGACTGGAAAGCTTCAGGGTGATATATAAAGGAGTATGATGGAATAAATAGTACCTCAGGCTTGCCTCAAGTAATTCTCGGCGAACGGCGGAGCAAGAGGGTGTTGAACTTCTGTGTCTACGGCTGTGCCGGACCGGGAGTGGCAGTGATAGTGGCTGTGCGTCTACCATACGCCAGCATGGACTTTCCTACTTACCATATACGTACATTCTTTTGTTCTGTACTTACTTGGCATCCTGCCATCCCTCCACATGATTCTGGTACGTTC